TCCGACCCGATATCTAAGTTCTCGGCACCGAGACGAACGAGACAAATCATCTCTCTACGCTCAAGTACGCGGCACGGCTGGATGCTGCGGGGGGTCCGGCCAACACCCTGTTTTCCTTGATTCGGTCCTCGGTGGCCGGCGTCCGGGCACCACTCGTAGTCCTTGTCCCATGCTCCTCTCGCTTGCGCGTGTCCTCAGATGGCCCCCAAGGGGCCGTCCTGGAGCTATTTTGGGCGCCTCTTGGGCCGACTTGGAGGCCTTCAGGGCCGCCCCAAGAGGCCGAACTCAGTGAAGCACATGGTGTTTTTCCCCAAACAGCTTTCTGAACGGGGTGCTGTTTTGATAGAAGCTAACTCCGGCCGAAGGATTTCAAAGCAGAGACGTTCTCAAACAAATGTGGTGGTCTGGGCCGTTTCGCCTGGGACATCCTCGCAACTCTCGTTTCTGAGTTGTCCGAGATTGGGCGTTGCGCGTGGGACATCCTCCGAACTCTGAGTTCCCAGATGCCGCGCAAGAGGTGGGCTGGCCCGTTTCGCCTGAGACATTCTCGAAACTCTGCGCTCCCAAATGCCGCGCGAGAGGTGGTCTGGCGCGTTTCGCTTGACACATCCTCCAAACTCTGAGCTCCCAACTGCCGCGCGGGAGGTGGTCCAGCCCGTATCGCATGAGACATCCTCCAAGCTCTGAGCGCTGAGATGCCGTGCGCGAGGTGGTCCGGCCAATTTCGCCTCAGCCATCCTCAAAACTCTGGGCTCCGAGATGCCGCGCAAGAGGTGGTCCAGCCCGTTTCACCTGAGACATCCTTCAAACTCTGAGCCCTGATATGCCGTGCGCGAGGTGGTCCGGCCCGTTTTGCCTGAGACATCCTCGCAACTCTGCGCTCTCTGATGCCGCGCGAGAGGTGGTCCGGCCCGTTTCGCTTGAGACATCCTCTAAACTCTGAGCCCCGAGATGCCGCCCAAGAGGTGGTCCAGCCCGTTTCGCCTGAGACATCCTCGCACTTTTGCATTCCGAGATGCCGCGCGAGAGGTGGTCCGGCCCGTTTCGTTTGAGTCTGAGACATCCTCGAAGCTCTGAGCTCTGAGATGCCGCGCGCGAGTTGGTCTGGTCCGTTTCGCCTGAGACATCCTCCAAACTCTGAGCTCTGAGCTGCCGCGCAAGAGGTGGTCCAGCCCATTTCGCCTGAGACATCCTCGCATCTCTGACCTCGGAGATGCCGCGCGCGAAATGGTCCAGCCCGTTTCGCCTGAGACATCCTCGCAACTCTGAGCTCTGATATGCCCTGCGCGAGGTGGTCCGGCCCGTCTCTCCTGAGACATCCGTGCAACTCTGAGCTGTGAGATGCCGTGAGCGAGGTGGTCCGGCGCGTTTCGCATGAGACAATCTCGCAACTCTGCGCTCCTTCCCTGGGCCCCTGGGAGCCCCAGGAGGCCCCAGAGAGCTTCAGGAGGCCGCAGGACGCCCAGGACAGGCCCCAGGGGTCCCCAGGAGATTCACAGGAGGCTCCCAAGCCCCCTATCAGACCGTGTCAAGTTAATACACATCCGGTGTCGATTCGTTGATTTGTCCTGCTCTTGTGCCCCCCCCCTATTTTGGGGGGCCCAGACGGCCACATGTTAGATATCCCCCCCTGGGAGCCCCAAGAGGCTTCAGGAAGCCCTAGGTGGGGTCCAGGAGGCCACAGGAGGCCCAGGAGGAAGCCCCAGGAGGTCCCCAGGAGGCCCTAGGAGGCCCCAGGAGGCCCCCGCAACTCGGACCTCTGAGACGCCGTGCTCGAGGTGGTCCGGCCCGTATCGCATGAGACTTCCTCGCAACACGTTTCGCCCGAGACATCGTCGCAACTCTGGGGTCCGAGATGCCGCGCGCGAGGTGGTCCAGCCCGTTACGCTGGAGACATTCTCGCAACTCTGGTCTCCGAGATGCCGTTCGGGATGAAGGGGAGGATGAGTAGGAGGAGGAGAAGGAGGAGAAGATGGAAGGGAGAAGGAGGATGATGTGGATGAGGGAGCAGGCAGGAGGAGGAGGAAGAGGAGGATGAGGAGGAGGAGGAGGGAGAAGGAAAGGAGTTGCAGGCGGTCTTCAACGAGGCCTCCGACCAATACGTTCCATCCAGGGCAACCGGGGCGACAAGGGAAAACCATCATGACATGCCCCCCCGCTTCTGCGCCCTCCCCCGCTTCCTCTTACAGTTGCTTCCGAGTTCACAGCATGGCGGTGGAGCCTCTGACAGTGCCGACCCGAAAGCTTACTCGTCGACAAGGTGCGAGAGAGAGTACGACACCCTCTAGCGTTAGCTTCCCGATAGGCATGCGTCACACAAGTTTTCGTGTAAACATCTCATGTGCAAATATCATGTTAACATGTTCTGACATGCCATGCCAGCCCGCACTGGACGGGCACGCGATCGACCTTGGACACCGCAGTGGGTTTAAAAACCCTGTTTGGGGATACTGCACTCCGCGTACAACTTGTTTGGTGCTCAGATGCATGCCTTGTTGGTGCCAAGAGCGAGGCTCCCACGAGAGCCCCGAGAAGGCTCCGAGCAAGGGCCCCATATGCCCTGCAATATGCCTCCAATACCGAAGGGCTGGTGAAACAAGGAATGCAACATAAGGTACGAGACCCCCCTTTTGGCGCCAACATCGCCGGGGTGCCCGAGGAGGGCTGCAGGAACAACAACGGAATGGCATAGGCACACCGAGCCCCTTCCGAAGCTACTTGCTGTAGGGGCCCCAAAGAGGGGGAACTCGAACGGGCTTTTGAGGCCGCCCCAGCATGGCCCCGAGCCCGCCTCGGGGCCCCCAAGGAGGCCCCGAAGAATTCAAAATGGCTCCCGGCAGGCCGCGCAGAAGACTCGGAGGGGCCCAGAGAGGCCCTCCAAGAGACCCGCAGGAGGTCGCGAAGAGGCGGGACGGATGGCGGCGGCGGGCTGGGCACGGCCCCTGCACGGCGACAGGATGGGCCGACAACCGCTAGATATCCGGGCATGTTGGGCCTCCTCCCTTCCAGGGCATGCGTGTCTTATGGCTCCACCCGCGAGGCTCCCACCGCGCGGCCTGTCCGCCAGCGCCGAGACCACAGACGTGTGATGGCACCACGGTAGCAGGGGCACGTAGCATAACAGTCAGCAAGTGCGGGAGCAGGAGCAGCAGGAAGAGCAGGAATGGCGAGACCAGGGCTGGTGGCAGGATTAGCAGCGGCGGTCGTAGCAACTGTACCAGCGTAGTAGCAGTGGCGGTAACTGCACCGTGAACAGGGGCAGCAGCATCAGTAGCAGCATCAGTAGTAGCACTGGTCGCCGTGGCAGAGGTGTGGCAGCAGTTGTGCAATGGCTGAGTTGTATAGTAGCTGATGTAGTGGGAGAAGCAATCGAAATTGTTATTCGGTAGTAGCAACGGTTTAAGTGACTACACTTGATGTGGTGGTACGGTGAATGGTGATACTAAGAGTATTGATACTAGTACACATAACCCTACTCATCCGTCACCGTGCATGCACAATGACAACGTGTTAGAATGACAGGTGCTGTTCACCTCCAGGGTTTTTGTACTATAACAAGAGACCCCCCTCTACTACTAGACAGGCGCATGCACACCCCCCGCTCACGAAGTCACGATCCCTTGTGAAAACACGGTCCGCGCTCCCGAGGCCACGATCTGTCCACATCCCGAGCTTCCAAGACAGCCCTGGCAGGCAATCAAGGCAACCAGCGCTACCAACATGACCCAAGATGCCTCGAAGCCGGGCCAGCATGGCCTCGAGGCGGTCGGATATGGCCTCGAAACTCGAAGAAGGCCCAAAAGGGCACCCAGAGAATCTCCGACATAAAGGGCCCGTAGACGCCAACATCATTGATTCCCTTCTGATGTCAACAGATGTTCTCAGTCTCGCCTTTTGGGGCGTCTCGCAGATGGCCCAAGAGGACCCCACGATAGGCATCCACGATGGCCTTCGAAGGTCCTTCGACTGCAGAAGGCGCCGCCAAGACGACCCCACGACGGCGCCCACGCACCCGCCATACTGCGAGGAGGGCCCCAAGACGGCCCAACAGAGCCCCTAGACCCTAGACCCTAAGCTGCCCAAGAGGGCCCCAAGACGGCCCAAGCGGGCCCCAAGGGATCCACTAGACCGCCTCACAGGAGGCCAAGACGGCAACAAGATGGCCCAAACGAATTTTCTGTTAGCTGCTCAAATAGTGAAATGGACATCTGTCACGTGTGACGGTCTTCCTCTTCTTATCCTCCTGCTCCTCCTCCTCCTCCTCCTCCTGGTCCTGCTCCTGGTCCTCCTCCTCCTCCTCCTCCTCCTCCTCCTCATCATCATCATCATCAGTAGCAACATCATCACGGCTCTCCCAAGCCTGGAGACATGAGGTGTCATACGTGACGGCTTCCCCTGCCCCCTCGAACAGTCGCTACCCAGAATGCTGGGCTGGCACGGTTGCGGGACTTGCCGCGGGCAACCGAATCATACAAATCGTCGTGGTCGTAGAAATGATAGCCCGTGGCATTACGCGGCAGTGTGAGTAGTATTAGGTCGAGCATGTCCTCCTACAGGCGGATATTGGAAGACAAATGTAAAACAAGCAATCAAAACATGCTGAGCAAGAATCAAACATTGTAGAAACATCGTCTCCAGACTATTGTTGGACTATTTTTGAATATTACTCCTGTGGAGGGACATGTCCGACTGAATCGTAGATATGATAGCCCGTGGCAATACGCGGTATTATGACCAGTAGTAACTGTGGTGAGTGCAGAACGTGGCTGTAGGAATATGACGGGGGCCCTCCCTCCCTCACCCCCTTCCAGACCCCTTCCCCCTCCCCTCCTCCTCCTCCTCCTCCTCCTCCTCTTCCTCCTCCTCCTCCTCCTTCCTCATCCTCATCCTCATCCTCATCCTTTTCCGTTTCCTACTCATCTCGATCGTCCTCCTCCTCCTCCTCCTCCTCGTCATCCTTGTGGTTGTAGCAAGAGGGCGGGGGAGAAGGCTCGCTGGGCCTGGTAGGCGGCGCCACCCAGGGCGCCCATGCTGGCCATCTCGAGGTAGTCCCCCAGCGCGTACATGAACCCGATCCCGCAGAACACCTCCCGCCAGCGGCGAGCGAGGGGGGGAAGTGAGAAAGAGAAAGCCTTCTCAGAAGGCTCGGAAGTCCCCCGGTCTAGCGAGGGGGGGAGTGAGAAATAGAGCAGCTTCTCAGAAGGCTCGGGAGTCCCCGGGCCTTTCGAGAAGTTTGCTAAGCCTTCCCCGAAGACACAAGAGACCTCTGGCGCGAGGGCTTCTGTGAAGCCCCGCCGCCTTCTGAGAAGGCCTTCTCCTTCTCAACTCCCCCCCTCGCTCGCCGCCGATTCCGCCCGCCGAGGGAGCAACGGCAGAAGGGCGGGAGTGAAGGGGCACAGGGACGCACAAACAAATGGACACAGATGCCCCAGGATCCCTGGTCTTGTCAACATTTCCTGGAGTGGAGCTTCGTCTCCCCCTCCCCTTCCCAGATTTTATCCTGGGAACCGACGATTCTCTGTGGTGTGTCTGTGCTCCTGTTCCCTCCTGAAGGGAGGGCGGGAGGAGCGGAGCGAGAGAGGGAGGGGAGGCGAGGGCAGGGGAAGCCATGGGGAGGGAAAGAGCTCGCGGAAGAGGGAGGAGAGGAAGGACGAAGGGAGCGAGCCAAACTCGGCGGCGAGCGAGGTGAGAAGGAGAAACAGGCCTTCTCAGAAGGCGGCGGGACTTCTCAGAAGCCCTCGCGCCCCCTGAGAGGCTTTTTGTCCGAGGGCCGGGGCACTTCCGAGCCTTCTGAGAAGGCCGTCGCCTTCTTACCACCCCCCCTGGGCTCGCCGCCGACAAACGGGAGCGGCGGAGGAGAGGGCAACGACAAGGGTGGGGTGGGGCGGAAGGAGAGAAAACTGCCTCTCCTCGCGGAGGGGGTCGACTACAGAACTGAGTTGCCCCATACTGTTGGCCCATACTTGATGTGTTCGTCAAATCTGCCACCAAAATACAAAGAATGTTCGCAGGTCTACGAGCATGCTACGCATGTTTCATGAGTCCGACGAGCAAAATCCATATTGCGGGACGTCGGTACGCCTATTATGAAGTCGATCCCCTACTCGAAGGGTGGGGTGGGGTGGAGGGAAAGAAAATCACCCTTCTGGACTGCTGTGATACGCAGACATCCTTTTGTCCAGCACCTGCCACGCTCTCTCGCCTGGGCGGGCAGGCAGGCCAGCCGCCGCTGTCGCAATACGGCTATCATGCTCGCCCCCAAGAGCGAAGCCAGGACAGGGACAAAATCGCAAAGGGATACATCGGGGATCTTTCGACGGTTCTGGAGGATGTATCGGGAGCCGCGGCCTTCTCAGAGCGTTCTGGAGAACGTTCTGGAACTCTCTGGGACGATCTGTCTCTGCCTTGGCCCCGCCCGAAAAGACCCCAAATGGCGAAAGCGAGGCGAGAGTAGCGGTACGGGTACCTCTTCCTCCCATAAGGCTTTACAGTGGCTGCTTTCTTGCACTGTCTGCGCTCTGGTAATGCGAGGAGCCGTGGACCTGGCCGAGAGCGGCAGTCGCCGCTCGTCATGCCGAAAGGATCGCCACGTCAAGCAAGTCGGGCGGGTGGTAGTGGGAAGTGGGGGTGAACTAAATATCCGTGTAGGCTTGGGCGCGAATTGCAGTAGGGGCTCGACCACAAGACACCTTCCACAAGAACCCCAACCCTGATACCCCAGGGCGTCCACTAATCTTTGGTGTGAGCACGTCACGCTTTCCATTGCAAAACCATCGAAACCCAAGACACCCAGGGCATCCTGGAGTAAAGCCGGGTGTTTCTTGGCATAGGTCTCCATTGTGTGGGGGGGGGGAGGACGGTGACCTTTTCGGATCCTCAGGGCCCCCTCTGGGGCCCGAGAGGGCCCCTTGAGGGGCCCTAAAGGGCCCCTCTTCGGCAGCCCTCGCTGCCCTTCCACTTATCGCGCCCCCATTACGCGGCCTCCCAAATCGGGCGGAGACCTAACTATTCGTTTAAGCCACCCCAACTGACATGCCGGTCGGAAGAAGCAGGCAGAGACATGAAGCAGGAACGCGGATAAAGTAGACTGGGCCCAGGCCCCCCCTGAGAGCAAGAGCACACTGCAAAAGCACGTGGACTCTTGCAGCAGAAAGGCGCTCGAAATAGACTGGGATCTGGGAGCCCGGAAATACCAACTTCCAACGACCAACGAGTACCACCCGCCCGAAGTCAGGCCAGGGATCGGCGACGCGCCCTCACGGGGAAACAGGCGGGCCTTCTCCGAGGGCTCGGAAGGCCTCCAGCCTTCCGAGGAGCTTCCCAGGCTTGCCTCCCCCGAAGCCGCACAATGGCGTCCTCGTTCTGGGTACTTCTGCTGGCGCCACTCGATCCACCCATGTGTCGATGCTGCGTCGAACGTCCGTCGAGTGTGAGTCGAGCTTGAGTCGAACTGGGGCCGAACAGGAGCCAAACTATAGTCGAACAGATCCGTTAGGTGAGACCCAGCACGGTTCCCAAAACGAGCATCTAAACAGAAGGCTTCTCGGAAGGGCTTCAGAGAAGCCCCGCCGCTTTCTGAGAAGGTCTGCCCCCTCTCACTGCCCCCCTCGGCGCGCCGCCGAAGGGAGTCTGGAACAGATGCTCGATATCGAGAGCATCCACTGTTGGACGGAGCGGTCAATGCGTCACCCCCCAGCGTGGAACACCAAACAAAACGTCCTGGTTCAGGCCCCCATGCTGGTGTAGTCGAATCGTCGCGTAGAACAACCGCCTCCATGTCAAAGCCAACCCTAGCGCAAGCATCGTGCTACTGACGAGTGTATGACCAGCGGCACTGTGGACCAGCGGCGTAGATCTGTAATTCTAAGCGCACCCCTTCTGGAGCTGAGCCATCTCCTGCCAGAGTTTCTTTTCGAGTTTCTGACCTCCTCGTCGGCAAAGCTGGCCCGAATCTGAGACGACGGTGCGCTCGGCTGACAGCAAGCCGTCTGCAGAGGCGCAGCCGGTAGGCCGACGCCCGAGACGCATCTTCTTGCTGCTGGCGAGCCAGGCGGGAGGAACAGCAAACTGCACACAGATAAACTTCCGGAAGTCCGCGCCGACCCAAGAAATCCGCGGGCCTTCGCCAGGCCCCCGAGCCGTCAAAAACGACTCAGGATGGAATGCTGGTCCTGGGGAATGGGTTGAGGCCTCTGGGGGTCCACGCAGCGGAAGAAAAGCAATACGACGTCGGGGGTCTGCGCCCTTGCCATCCCGAGAGAGAGCAGCAGCCTGGGGAAACCAAAAGGTACCGATACTGTGCGTTCTGACGAGGATTTCGAGGCGAATCCAGCAGTGGCGACGAGGGCCCCCCCAGAGGCCCAAAGAGGGGGAAACGTGGCGAGGGTAGCGGAATGGGCACCGTCTCCACCGACAACCAGATGCAGACGGCAAGCCATGGTGGGTCGGCGGGAGCGCACGTGTGCCGCCCGCGCGTTGGGCACCTCTCACGCGATGTGGCGCACGACAGGCGCGGCGTGACAACACCCTGGCAAGCTCGGGAATTGCATGGTCTGAGCGCCGATAAGAAGTGGAGGAAAAGCGGTACGGGCGTGTAGAGGGGAGGGAGAGAGGGGGAGCCACGGGGAAGGCAGAGGAGCGCGTGGTGGGGAACGGGGAGAGGGAGAGAGGGAAAGCGACGGTGGAGAGCGAGGGAGACCGCGGCGAGAGGAAGTAGAGGGGGCGGGGGAGATGGATGGCGTGAGGGGCACAAAGGGGGGGCGGAGGGGGAAGCGGAGGGGATGTGGAGGGGGGCGGGCAGGCACTGCACGGGGGCGAAGGAGGCAGGACGTGGCTCCAGGATCGAAGCGCTGCGGGGGGCTCTGCCCCCATGCCTGGTCGGCGAGGGGAGGCGAGGCGGCGGGGAGGGGGGTTGTGGCGGGGAGGGGGGGGTCGCCAAGGAGGGGGCGAGCAAGGGGGGGGGGGAGGGCCTCCCCTCCCCCTCTCCTGACCTCCCTGCCCGCCCCCTCCGTGGCCCCTCAGCCCCCGTCCTCCCCTCCCCCTCCTTGGCCCTCCCTGGGCCTTGCTTCGCCTCCTCGGCGCCCTCCCCGGCCTGCCATGGCCCTCCCCGCCGCGGCCTTCAGCGAGTTGGGGTCCCACAGGAGCTTGGTCTTGCCGTTGGCGGCCGCCATCAGGGCCCCTGCGGTGATGTGCCGATTTTCCACCACCACTTCCATAGGTAGGACGGGGGGAAATGGAGGATTGGGAGGTTCCTCCTCCTCCTCCCTCCCTCCCTCCCTCCTCCTCCTCCTGCTTCTCCTCCCCCCCCTCCCCCTCCCCCTCCCCCTCCCCCTCCTCCTCCTCCTCCTCCTCCTCCTCCTCCTTCTCCTCCATTCCTTCTCCTTATACATAACTCCTCCCTGTCGCACCCCGAGGCCAGTTTTTAGGGCGGGCCGGGCGTTTCGCCTGAGAGTTCCTCACCACTCATGACTCTGAAGCTTATACAATGCCAACAGCTTCACATATGGAGGGCGGGTCGCTTTCGAAATGTGACTCTCGCTTTAGCGCCGCGTACATTCGTTTTAAACTTTTGCAAGAGCTTCACGGATTGAGGGCGGGTCACTTTCAACATGTGACTCTCGCCTTAGCGCCGTTTGGAAGGGTTTCACGGATTGGGAGCGGGTCGTTTTCAAAATGTGGTTCTGGCCTTAGCGCCGCGCACATTCGTTCTTACAAATTGCAAGAGATTCCCTGATTGAGGGCGGATCGTTTTCAACATGTGGCTCTCGCCTTAGCGACGCGTGCAATCGTTTTGAACAATTGCAAAGGCTTCACGGATTGAGGGCGGGTTGTTTTCAAAATGTGGCTCTTGCCTCAGCGCCCCGCACAGCGCCCCGCACATTCGATTTAAATATGTGCAAGAGCTTCACGGATTGAAGGCGAATCCTTTTCAAAATGTGGCTCACGCCTCAGCGCCGCACACACTCGTCTTAAACAGTTGCAAGACTTTCACGGATTCCCATGATCAGCGTACCAAAAACAGTGTTTTTGAAGGACTCAGGATATGCGGGTGCAACAATTATGCTGGTTCGCGGTACTGAAATCCATAACATGGCGTTGTGGCACGATTCCGGCTTGCCACAACGCAGCAGTCAGGTTGATACGTGGCGTTGGAACCCCGAGAACAATGTTTTGGCATGGTGCAGGATCTTCAAACGGTTGTCTTCCAACGAGGCAGTTCCCTCAATGGAAATGAAGCGTTGTATGGGACCTATGAGGAGGGAGCTTGGAGGGAGGGTTAATTCCAGCATCGTTGATGACTCTTGGGTTTACACTGGTCCTCCTCCTCCTCCTCCTCCCTCCTCCCTCCTCTCTCCTATCTCCTCCCTCCTCCCTCCACATGATCCTTCCTTCCTCCTCCCTCCTCCCTCCACCCTCCTCCCTTCTCCCTCCTCTCCTCCCTCCTCCCTCCTCCCTCCTTCTTCCTCCGTCCTCCCTCCGCCCTCCTCCCTCCTCCCTCCTCCCTCCTCCTCCTCCTCCTCCTCCTCCTCTTCCTCCTCCACTTCCTCCTCCTCCCTCCTCCCTCCCTCCTCCTCCATCTTTTACCATACTAAAAACTTGTCCCTTGCGCACGCCGAGAACGGTCGGAAGGACGGGCCAGGCGTTTCGCCTGAGACTTCCTCACCATTTACGACCCGGAACCGTAAACGTTGACAACAATTTCATAAGTGGAGGGCGGGCCGTTTTCAAAATGTGGCTCTCGCCTCAGCGCCGCGCGAATTCGTTTTAAACATTTGCAGGGGGTTCACAGATTCAGGGCAAGTGGCTAAAAAAATGCGGCTCAAGCTTTGCAAAGATTTCACGGATAGAGGCCGGTTGGTTTTCAAACTGTGGCTCTCGCACCGTCGCCGCGCACATTCGTATCAAGCAGTTGCAAGAAACTCACGGATTCAGGATGAGTGGACAATTAAAGGTGGCTCACACTTTGCAATAATTTCACGGATTGAAGCCGGGTGGTTTTCAAACTGTGGCTCTCGCCTTGGCGCCGCGCGCATTCATTTGAAAACATATGAAAGAATTTCATAGATTCAGGGCCGCTCGTTTTCAAAATGTGGCTCGCCTAAACGCTGCGCGCATTCCTTTTTAAACAACTGCAGTATTTTCACTGGCTCCCATGGTCAGCATACCAGACATTGCGTTATGAAAAGACGCAATGTTATGAATGTGCAACCGTTACGCTGATTCGCAGTGTTGAAGTTCAAAGAATGGCGTTCTGGCACGATTCACAATCGCCAAGACGCAACAATCATGTGGATCCGTGGCGCTGGGATCCCGAGAATGTTTCGGCATGCTTCGGTTTCTTCAAACGGTTGTCTTCCAACGAGGCAGTTCCCTCAGTGGAAATGACCCCTTGTATGGGGCCTGCGAAGAGGGAGCTTGGAGGGAGGCTTTATGCCAACACCGTTCATGACTCTTGGGTTTACACTGGTCCTCCTCGTCCTCCTCCCCCTCCTTTCGAATTACTGGGGGAGGGGCCATTGCTAGAGATCTGTGGTACGGATGCTTGTAGCAAAATGACCTTCGAAAGCGTTCCGTTTCGTGCGTGGCCAATCAAAGAAGCACGTGAGGATGCCTGAATCAAGGGAACCTAAGGGAACAAACACTTATTTTTAGCGAGGCGTCCTTTGCGAAGATGTGCTGGGCAAGCATTCGCCAGTAAGGGTGCCTTAACCAAGGAATCCTTGGTACGGGCCCATTGAGTGTGGAATCCTTGGTGAGGATGTCTTTCGCAAGGATCCCCTCCGAACGGATCCCTGCGGTAACAACGTGAGCACCCTGGGGTAGGGAGGGGAAGGAAGGGGAGTGGTAGAGCGAAGAGGGAGGCGGAGGGGGGGCGGGAGAGCGAGGGGGAGGTGTCGTAGAGGGAGCAGGGAGGTGGTGGTGGTGGTGGTGGTGGTGGTGGTGGTGGTGGTGGTGGTGATGGTGGTGGTGGTGGTGGTGGTGGTGGTGATGGTGGTGGTGGTGGTGGTGTGTGTGGGTGTGGGCGGAATTTGTCCTCCCCCCAACAAGGGGAAAGCATAAAGCAAACGTCTGGAAGTCCTCCGCCTTTGTGGTATATTTCTTTTTTTTCGGGGGGGGGGGAGGAACCATCCCTTAGGAGTGGGGAGGAGGAGGGATAGGAGGTGGTGGTGTGTGTGCGCGTGTGTGTGTGTGTGTGTGTGTGAGTGCGTGTGCGTGTGCGCGTGTGTGTGCGTGTGTGTGTGTGTGTGTGTTTGTGTGTGTGTGTGTGTGTGTTAGCCATTCGGTTGGCCCGGATTCCCACACGCTGGAGTGAACCACCTCTGTTTCGCCGCCGAAGGAACGGTGTGTGCGTGTGTGTGTGTGTGTGTGTGTGTGTGTGTGTGCGTGCGTGCGTCCGTGCGTGCGAGCGTGTATGTGTGTGTGTGTTTGTGTGTGTGTTTGTGTGTGTGCGTGTGTGTGTGTGCGTGTGTGTGTGTGCGTGCAGTGATGTTGTGTGTGTGTGTGCCGGGGGGGGGGGATGATGTTCCCCCCCCCCTACCGAAATGATAACGCGAAGGACGTCCAGATAATTTGGTGGGGTGGGAGGAAGAGGACAAATCCCACACGCACACAACCCACACACACAGACACACACACACACGAACAGGAAACAGAGCGAAGAGGAAAGCAACGAAGAACCCCAAAAAAGTCCACCAGACCGCATGCTCCACAATCCCCTGTCCTCCGTAACTTACGCTATGTTCGCGCCCCCGACGAAACAACCCCTTGTAAGTTACTCGGTCGTTGTGCCCAGAACGGCGTTGCCTGTAAATGATGCTACATTCGCGTCCTCGAAGTCACGACCCCTTCGTAAATTGCATCACGTTCGCGTCCCCATCGCCACGACCCCTCCAACTTACGCCGTATCTGCGCCCTCGAAGCCACGATCCCTCGTACATTACACGGCGTGCGCATTTCCAAAGCCATGATCCCATTATGAAGTATACCGTATTCGGGCCCCCTAATACACTACGCCACGCTCGAGCCCCAGAGGCCACGATCCCTCGTATAAATTACGCTCCTGCTCCTCGCTCATCCTCTGCCTCCTCCTCATGGGCCCATCCTTTCTAGATGGGCATCTGTTGTTGCAGGTTCTTGCGCAGCTCTTCAATTTCACGCAATGTGGACGTCACCCCCATCATCAGCATCACCTTCATCACCATGTGCATAATCGTTATCATCATCATCATCATCATCATCATCATCATCATCATCATCATCATCATCATCATCAGCATCAGCATCATCATCATCATCATCATCATCATCATCATCACCATCATCATCATCATCATCGTCAGCATCATCACCATCAGCATCATCATCGTCAGCATCATCACCATCATCATCATCAGCAGCAGCATCATCATCATCATCATCATCATCATCATCATCATCATCATCATCATCATCTGCATGATTATCACCATCGCCAGCACCAGCACTAGCGCCCGCAGCAGCATCATGAGCAAGATCTCCATCACCATCACCATCGGCGTCAGCATCAGCATCATCAGCATCACCAGTGGCATCAACATCAGGACATAAAGACTGCGCCAAGACATCCGAATCTAGCTCTCAAGTATCCCGTTATGATAGAAATAGGTACGGCAGCAGGGGGAGAAGGCCTTGCGGATACAGCTATATATATATATATATACACGTGCGTATGAACTACATTACGCGTCACACTAAGGTGTCATCAAGCAAGCTGTGCCATGCTAGCTAATACTTGTTGGCGAGGGAGAGATATGATATCTATGCGTACGCTATCAGATTCGAGTTGTGCTAGCTTGTAGACTATGCTATGGGATGATCTGATCTGCTATTGTCCGCCACTGCGCCTCTGGTCACGGAAAGGGCCTGTCCTCAGGTCCTTTGCCTAACCCCCTGAGCCTCAATCGTCTGTCCCTGCAACCCCCTGAACATCAATATTTTAGGGCCCTGGACCCCACATTCCCGGACTCTCCAGGGCTTGGCGCGTGCCCTCTGGGGTTCGCGGCGGCTTGTCGCGTGACTTGTTCGGGCCCGAGAGGGTTGCAGGACGGGCCACGAAGCCTCGAAGAGGCCCCCGTGACAATCCGTGAGGGCCCCGAGTCGCCGAAGGACCACACCAAGACGCCCAAGATGTCGTTCAGACGGCCAACGAAGCCTCCAAGACGCTCCAAGAGGCCTCCCAGACGGTTCCCAATATCATTCTCGCTTTTTCTGTTTCCCGACACTCCAAAATGGCCCAAGAGGCCCCAAAAATCGCTCCAAGACGGCCCAAGAGGCCCCCTAGACGGCCCAAGAGGGCCTCAAGACTGCCCAAGAGGCCTCCAAGACAGCCGAAGAAGCTCACAAGACGGCTCCAAGAGTGTCCAGACGTGGGACCCGAACGGACATTTCGAGCCCTTGGCCCCAAGAAGCCTCCAGGAGGCCCCAAGAGGCGTCCGAGAGGCCCAAAAGGCCCCCAAGAGGCCCCCAAACAGCTCACCAGAGGCCCCACAACTGCCTCCAAGAGGCCCCGAAGACCTCGACGAGATCCCAACGACCATCCAAGGGGCCTCAGACCCACAACCCAGGCACGGTGGCGGGATGGGTCGAAGGCCATCACATAGACTCCCATACTATAGTATAGTTGTTTATCCCTTTGTTGATTGATGCTCTCTCTCTCTCTCTCTCTATCTCCCTCTCTCTCTATATGTATGTATGTGTGTATATATATATATATATATTATCCATCTCTCTCTCTCTCTCTCTCTTTCTTAGCATCAGCAACCCCCGCGGCGGCGCCAGCAATGAGGGTGAAGAAACACTCGCCGAGGACGACAGTCATGTTGCCGTAAGCGAGGCCTCCGAAGCAGGCGGGGGGGCTGGGGGCGCTCAAGGGGTGCAGCTCCGCCCCCTCCCCTCCCCTCCCTCGCCCGCCCCCCCCCACTCCCAGCCACTTCCCATCACTTCCCTTGCACCCCCCGTCTGCCCTCTGCCCGCCGGCCTTCTCTCTCTTCCCCCCCCCGTCAGACATTCTTGGCTGGGAAAGCCCCTCCCCCCATCGCCCCTTCCCTTCTACAGCCTGCTTCGCCCCCGCCCCCCTCCCCATTCCCCCCCCCCCCGCTCCTCCGCCCCCTCTCCCGTCCTCCCCTCCCCCCCCCGCCCGGCCCGCCACCCTCTCCCCTCCCACCCCACTCCGCCCCCTCCTCCCCTCCCCCCCCGCTCACGAGTGAGGAGTACGCAGCCGACCCTCCCCCGCTCCCCTTCCCCATCCCGAGTACCACCCCCCTCATCCCACGCACGAGAGCGAAGAACACGACGCAGCCCCCCCCCCTGCCCCCCCCCCTGCCCTGAGACGAAGCCGAGACGAGGCCGAAATCGGGCGAGGATACATCGAGAACCTCTGAGATCTGGCGGCTCTGGAAGGCGTCTCGGGCGCCGCGGCCTCCTCCGAGCGTCCTGGGGCGCTCTGAGGGCGTTCCGGAAAGCTCTGGAACGGACTGATCCTCGTCCTGCAGCATCCTCGGAGTCAGACGCCACTTTTCCCCGCGACGTGGCGGCGCCCGAGGACCCCACACTTTCGATGCTCGCGCCGAGGCTGGCGACCGCAGACACGAAAATCGGACCCCGCGGGCCGCGCTTCGCGCGTCGATCAACTCTGAAAACCTGCGTCTGACTCTTCGCGGAGGGTCGCAGCCCCCCCGCCCGATGCCCACCCCTCTCCCGCCACCCCCCACCCCCGTGCCCACGAGGGCGGCGAGGGCGGAGATCTGGCGGCTCCGGAGGGTGTCTCGGGCCGCCCCCCTGCCTCCTCGGAGCGTCCCGGGGCGCTCTGGGGGCGCTCTGCAACGCTCTGGAACGGATCGATCCTCGTCCTGGATGCCTCCTCGAAGTCAGGCGCAAAGTTTGACCGGCGACGTGGCGGCGCCCGAGGACCCCAGACGTTCGATGTTCGCGTCGGAGCTGGCGACTGTGAGCACGAGATCTGACCCCGCCTGGGCCGCGCTTCGCGCGTCGATCAACACTGTAGGCCAGATTTGGGACACGATTTTGGACCAGGCTCGCCCCTTCACCAAGGAGGCGAGGAGAGCGAGGAGGGGGAGAAGAAGCAAGAAAGGTGAGGAGGAGCAGGAAGAGGGGCCCAAAAAGCGGTCCAAATGCTAGGTCGGGCGTGTCCCCCTACAGGGTTTTTTGGGGTGAAAATTTAGACATACCAAAACCAATACACCAAAATAGTCAAAACATTATTAAATAAAAGATCGTCCCCAGACTATGTTTGACTATTTTTCGATTTTCCTCCTGTAGAGAGGAACAGGCCCGACATAATCCAAACGCGATCCAACTGCAGGAGAAGCTGCTCTCAATATCGCCTCCCGCCATTTCCCCCCCGTAGCCCCCGCAGAAGAAGAACAGGCGCCATAAACATAAACGTTTGGCGCCCCGCGCGGGGCGCCAACAGTTTATATGCATGTCGTGTTTTTCTTATTCTTCTTCTTCGACCCCGCTCGCGAGGGCGACGAGGACGGAACTCGCGCGGCGCCGACGGGGGACCCTCGGGCGGCGCCCAGCGCGGAGCCCACCCGCGGCGCCGAGGGCCGAGGCGCCCCCGCGGGCACGCCTGGGGCGCAGGCGCGCGCGAGAGAGAGAGAGAGAGATGATAGCACAGGGCGCCGCGCGGCGCGGGGTCGAGGAGGTCCCTTCCCCACAGTCGGGCCTAGGACAGAAGAGCATCCCTCCAGCACATGCGACCCTCTGCCAGCCCAAGCTGAAGAACATTCGAGGGTGCCCTCCCCGAGGATGCACAAGAACATCCAACAACCACACACAAACACACACCCACACACGCGAAGAACATTAGGGTACCCTCCCCGAACCGACCTCGATCGTATACCTCGAACCGACCGTTTTTTCGGCTCAGACCTCCTGGCCTGGAGGGGCACAGGGACACGCAGACAAACAGCCACAACTGGCAGGGTTCCCAACACGTTCCATATGTCCCGGATGCTCACCTTCTCCTCCACTTCCCATACTTCTCCATGCTCTCCTGAGAATCGACGTTTATTTGTGTCTGTGTGTGTGTTTCCTCTTGACTTTTTTCAGCGCAGACCTACTAGCCACAGCTGTAGAGTCTCAGGTCCCCTCCCTCTCCTCCTCCTCGGCGACCCCGGCCCGCCGCCTCGCTTGCCCGTCTCCTCGTCGACGGTCTTGGACGCGTCGATGATTGTCCTGGTCTTGCGGCGAGTAGGGCGGCGTATGTTCTTCATGTTTGCGTTATACACATATGTATACACGTGCGTGTGCTTCCCCAAAGGCAAACAGACCAACGAGCAGCTGCCCCCCCAGGGTGAAACGCCTCGGTGCGATGGCCACTCGTAGCGTCAGGGTGAAAAGCACGACCGACTGTCGTGGACCAGCAGCCTCAGAAACATGGAAGAGCCCTGGCGAGCAGGGCAACGGTGGATCGCCCCCCCTATCCTCCCCACTCGCGCAGGAGCAGGAGAGGAAAAGATAAAGAGGGTCGGTAGGTGGAAAGGGGGAAGGGCGAGGGCGGATGGAAACAGGGAGGCAGAGGGGGAAGGAAGAGAAGCAACAGGGACATAAGGAATAGGAGGAGCAGAACCTCTCTTACACGCCTGGCACCGATGGACACCCGTCTCAAAGTTCGGATGATGTCTGGAGTGCGGATAGGACCAGCGATGATCGTGATGATGGTGGTGATAAGAATGATCACAATTACAATGATGATGACGATGATGATGATGATGCTGATGATGCTGATGATGCTGATGATTATGATTATGATCATGATGATCATGATGATGATGATGATGATGATGATGATGATGATGATGATGATGATGATGATGATAAGGATGGTGATGACGATGATGATGCTGATGCTGGTGATGAGGTTGATGGAAATCATGATGATTATGATGGTGATGATGATGCTAATAGGAAGGATGATTATACTGACGATGATGGTGATGATGGTGGTGATGCTGATGATGTTGATGACGACGATGATGCTGAATATGATGATGATGATGATGATGATGATGATGATGATGATGATGATGATGATGAAGACGAGACTGATGGTGACGATGCCGGTGCCGATGCCGATGACGATGCTGATGCTGGTGATGATGACGGTGATGAAGCTGGTAGTGGTGGTGGTGATGATGATGATAATGATGATGATGATGATGATGATGATGATGATGACGATGATGATGATGATGCTGATGATGCTGATGATGACGATGCCGATGCTGCTGCTGATGATGATGGTAATGATGATGAAGATGATGCTGCTGATGATGATGATGATGATGATGAGGATGATGATGATGGTGATGATGATGATGATTATGATGATGATACTGCTGATGATGCTGCTGATGGTGATGATGGTGCTGATGCTGATGATGATGATGATGGTGAACACGGTGATGGCGCCTACGATCATGATCGCGATTGTGATGGTGTTGATGGTGATACAGGCCTGCGTTGCGTTGTGTAGTCGCAGGGACCGCAAATCCTCACACCAGAAACGCGCCTCCGCCGACAGGCGTGCAATTTCCGCATCGCCCGCGGCACCGCCGTGGCATGGAAGCGCGCTCGACGCTGCGCACAATTCATGGAATGCATGCCGGCGTCAGCCTTCAGGCACCGCTGCGGCACACGCGCGCTAAGTGGAACCGCGCAGCATCAGGGAGCCTCCGAGAGGGAGGATGCAACAGTGGCGCAAGGCTGGCGCGGCTGCAGAGATTCGGCGTTCAACATGCTATGAGGCCAAAGAGCCAAAGCTGCGCCAACCAGGCCTGGCGGGCAATCATGATGTGCCAACGCTTCTTCAGGATGTCGTTCGGCACGACGGATTCTGCCAGTCCCGCAATGGTCACCGTCTGCCATGCAGGCCTGATATGACGCATATCGGCCCTGCTGCTGGTCCTGCTGCTTTAGCCGTGGCGGTGGGGCATCGGCTTCTTCATGTAGCCTACCACGCAACGCTTTGAGGCCAGCAAGCGACGACGTGAGCACCTGGGACCTCGCCAAGCTTGACATCGGAATGCCGCAAATTCCTTGGCACCACCAAGTCGGAGTGGTCCCGTTCCCTCGCTGGTGGAATCCTTCCGCCAGCATGCAGGGATGCGACGAAGCAACACGATGTGGCAGGGGACCCAAAAATCGAGCCTGCCGATGGTAATATCCCCGTCCTTCGCTGCTTTGTCCCACGCGCTTGTCAGAACGATAGCGCGGCTGCGCCGAAGAGGGTGCCTCGAAGGAACCGCCGCCGAAGGCGTGGCCGACCTCCGCGATGGTGAGCGCGCCGCTGGGCCGCAGCCCCGTGCCGAGGTCGGGGAGTGTCGTGGCCGCGCCTCGCAGTGTGCCCCAAGGGGCCCTGCGGGCGCGCTGGCCCTGCATGCGCTTCCAGCGGCCTGGCCTCCCGTGGCGCCGGCTTGGAGCCCTCGCCCGCGCCCCGGGGCGACTCGCCGCTCGAGGGCCTGTTCAGGGCCCGCGCAGTAGTGACATTGGCGGGGTCGCCAGGGCACGAAGCGTCGGGCGCAAGCAGTCTCGACACGGCTCGAGTGCCGCGCCTGGCGCAGAAAAAGGCACGGGCCAGACGGCCTCGGCGCATGCGTAGCGGAAAATGGTGCGCCTTGCCGCGGCAGCGGCGACGGAGGAGCCGTTCCACCGCCATTGCCCAGATGGCCGTCGTCGCCGTGGTCGTTGAACGAAGGTCCTGCCGCCGAGCATGCAACAGCGGTGGCAGACGCCGAGGCCAGCAGCGTCGCACCTGGCCTGACACAATGATCGTGATGATCGTTCCTTGTAGCGTCGTCATGGTGAGGAGGCTGGCCATCTCCCAGTCTCTTCTGATCATCGCCGAAATGACGCGCATCAGGAAATACTTCGCCAGGCGGTCTGCGGCTATATGTTTTTCAGCGGCAGCTGCATCCTGCCCTTGCTGCACCTGCGCACATGAAACCTCGCCTAGAGGATCAGGGATTCACTGTGGCCACGATGGGTACCTGCAGCACCAAGTTCGAGTGCACTATTCTGGAACTTGTATCCTGATCCAGGACCGTCCGCATGCTGAGAGGCGCATCAACCTCAGCGGGCGCAGCGTCATCAGGTGGATGAGGGCCTGGTTCCACGAAAGTGATGCCGCCAAGCTCGTCATCAACTGTCGCGTTGTTGGCCGGCGGGCCGTTATTGTGGGCCGCCATCCTCGCTGCGAGCACATCCCCGGAGCCAGCGATGCCGCTTCAGAGAAAGGGTTGGCCAAGATGGTTGTGGATAACAAGAAACCAGCCTGTTGGTCTCTGTTCGCGGTCGTGCTTCGCAGCACCCACCTGGCCAGCGCGCGTCCGACAACACTCGCCAGACTTCAAACCTGCGACGCAACCGCTCTCGTCCGCTCTTGGCCTCGCGCCAAGCTACACCGCAGATGATCTTCGCCAGGCACTAGGGTGGTGGAGAGCGGAAGAGGGCGCATCACCCGTCGCATTGGGTCACAACCGTATGATGGTGAGTAGTGGATGACGGGTGCTAGTCCTGATGGTGAGGGCGACGATGATCAGGAGAAGGGGAGGAGGAGGAGGAGGAGGAGGAGGAGCAGGAGGAGGAGGAGGAGGGACGAGGAGGAGGAAGAGGCGGAGGAGGAGCAACAGGAGCAGGAGCAGGAGCAGGAACAGGAGGGGGCAGCAAGATGGGGGGAAGAAGTGGGGAACGCGACGGTGGGCGGGGGCACTGGCCGCAAACCCTCCATCGCTCGGCCAACCACCAGGCCTCTCCCTCCCCCTCCCATCCCTCTTCCATCGTTCCTCCTCCTCCTTCCTCCTCCTCACGATCCCTAGGCGTTGCGTTTCAGCGCTGCTGAGGTTCTGGCAACGATCCCCAAGCGTTGCGTTTCAGCTCATCTCGTTGTTGGCAGGGCGGCTTCGGGGTGCCCGGTCTAATGTTTCAGGCGCTTTTCTCTCCGCTCGCGAGCCCACGCTGGCTGAGCCAAAACCTCGCGTGCATAGCCGAATGCAGGTGGATGGGCGCACAGCGCGCCAGCGGCAGGCTTAGTGGCACCTCATCAATTACCTCTTTGATGGCACCAGTGGATCAGTAGCCTCGAAGTGGATGAGCAAAAGCTCCACCTCCTCTCCTCCTCCTCCTCCTCCTCCTCCTCCTCCTCCTCCGCCTCCTCTTCCCTCCCTCCTCCTCCTCTCCTCCCCTCCTCCCTCCTCCTCTCCCTCCCTCTGCCCCTCCCCCCTCCCCCCTCCTCCTCCTCCTCCTCTCCTCCCCTCCCTCCTCACTCCTCTCTCCCTCCTCCTCTCCTCCTCCTGCTCCTCCTGCTCCTCCTCCTCCTCCCCCTCCTCCTCCTCTCCTCCTCCTCCTCTCCCTCCCCCTCCTCCTACTCCTCCTGCCTCTCCTGCTCATGATCCTGCTCTTCATCCTGCTCCTCCTCCTCCTCCCCTCCTCCTTCCTCCTCCTCCTCCTCCTTGTCCTCCCCTCCTCCTCCTCCTCCTCCTCATCCTCCTCCTCTTGAAACTACTTTCAGTCCTTTCAAATAACAGTCGTTACGGGGGGATGGGGTGGGGGGGAAGGGGCCCTGGGTAACGGTCACGCGTGTGAGCTGTGGGGCACCTAGGGGCGGGAGGGCGCTGCGATCGCCATAGCATATGCGCGTGCACTAACATGTGTGTGTGTGTGGTGTGTGTGTGAGCGTGTGCGTGTGCGTGTGCGTTTGTGGTGTATGAGAGAGAGAGAGAGAGAGAGAGAGAGATGCGGGGCAGTCCTCCCCAGTTCGCGGGGGCAGGCCGTTGGACGCGGGGGTAATATTCGAGGGCTCTGCGATGGCCGCGGCCCAGATGCCCCAGCAGCGGGCCCGCCGTCCGCGTCGCCTTCGGCAGCGCCCACCACGGACATCTGCACGCAGAGATGATTTCGGATCCCCTGGCCCTCTTCGCGGTGCTCGGCTTCTCCCTCTCGCAGCCCGTGGAGGTCAGGTGTGTTTTGATTTTTGCGACTACGTCATTGATCCCATCATTCCACTCCTCCTACCCTGTCCCTCCACCCCCTCCCTCTCTCCCTCCTCTTCACTCCAACTCCTCGTATCCCCCACCTCCTTTCTCGTCGACATTCCCCTCGTCCCTCTCCTCGTCATCGACCTTCACGTACTACTGCTTGTCCTCCTTCTCAACCTCTCGTCCATCGGCTCCGCGCAAAAGTGTCCCCAAGCCCTGAGTAGGCCAGAATGACCACCTTGAGTGCGCGCCTTTAGGTGGACGCGGGGGGGGCGGGGGCAAACCCAAGCGCGCAAGCTGCTGCTATCGCATCGCGTTCCGCGATCGGGGAACTCCAGTCCAGAGATCACTCCGGAGAAAAGTCGCGAATTCGCCCCCCCCCCCCCCCCCCCCCCCCCACGCTTCGGCACGCCATCGCAGCCCGGGCACGGGTGGATCGCACGCGTGAGCACGAAGAAGCAGAAGAGGCCGATCTTCTGGAGCGAGCCGCTGGAGGAATCCGCCTGCCGGGTGGTGCAGGAGAAGGGGGCGGGCGCAGGGCTTGGGACGAGGGGGCAAGAGCGAGGAGGCGATGAAGTTCAGCAGTTCTCAGGTTTGTCACACGAGGAAGCCCGCCCGAATGTTGAGAGGTGGTCAGAGCCTCCTCGTGCGCGATCGTTGCGGTGGGAAGCGGGGAGCAAAACAGGATGGCATGGGCAAGATTCGCGGGCTGACGGTGAGAAGCGGGGAGCAAAAAAGTACGGCATGGGCAAGATTCGCGAGCTGCAGGTGGCAGGATTGGTAGATAGAGTCCGGTTAGGAGGCCTTCGACGTCTTCCAAGAAGGCCCGAAAGGGTCAAAATGGCCTCCGCCCCGGCCAAGATGCCCTTCAAGATGCCCACGTGTTCCCAGAAGGCTTCCCAAACCGATTCGGGGAACACATGGTCCGATAGCTTGGCAGGTCTGGCCTCAACGTTCGGCCCCATAGGCGCTTCCACAAAGGCAGGGAGCGGCGGTGATTCGCCGTAGGCCACTAGGATAACGCCAACGTTTCAATATGCGCTGATGACTCCTTTCCGCCCCAGTGTGCTGTTCCCAGATGCGCCAAGGCAGCGCCGAGACGCACCGACGCGACTCTGTTATATCCCATTATGGTAGGGTGGAGGCCGGCGGCAGGAGCGAAGCCCTTACAGCTATATCTCTATATATATATATACATGTATATATATACATATATATATATGTAGATATAGACACGGGCACCCTCCGACGACATTTGCATGTACCTCCAGGGAGGGGACGGTGTATAAAGTCGCTGGCTCTCAGTGGTATTGTATACACCGCCCCCCTCCCCTGAGGCCCAGGAACAATCCAGTGGAGGGTGTCTGTGTATATTTTTGGGGGGCGGACAGGGGCTAGCGACCCAGGCCTCCGAGGACTCGGCAGGCATCTGCGAATGTCGGGGCCCTAGACCTCTCGACCTTCTTCCTGGGACGGTTCTCTGTCGTTCGTTGGCAGTCCCAGGGTCTGGAACTGGCCTCCTGAGGCCGAGGATGCAGCAAAACGCCAGACTCGATGCTCTGTCTTGCAGACGGGCTACTGTGAAAATTGAACTCTGCTAGTGAAACATCCCAGAACGGCGAGCGAGTAGCGGAGTGATTTCATGAAGTTTGTCCCTGACCATCATGTGGTGTTGGATCCTCGTTTTGAGAAGACAGCGCGCCACGTCCTCCACCTTCCTCCTCCTCCGCTCTTCTTCCCGCCCTCCTCCCATCCCTGCCTCTGCCCTCCGCATGTCCTCAAATTCGTCGCCTCCCATAATTTGTAGGCCCCAGAGGAGCCCCAACTAAGCCCCAAATACAAAGGTAACCATGGCGTGGCCGAATCATTTCGGCACACCCCATCACACGATTCGTGCCCGCAAAGGGAGCTCCAACTAAGGCCCAAGTGCCAGGCTCCGCGTGGCGTCGCCGCCTGATTTCGACACATGTCTCACACGCTCCGTGGCCTCATAGGGAGCTCCGACTGAGGCCCCAGATGATGATGATGATGATGATGATGATGATGATGATGATGATGATGATGATGATGATGATGATGATAACAATAATAATAATGATAATAATGATAATAATAATAATAATGATGATGATGATGATGATGGTGGTGGTGGTGATGATTGTAATGATGATGATGATGATGATGATGATGATGATGATGATGATGATGATGATGATGATGATGATGATGATGATGATGTTGATAATGATGATGCTAATGCTGATGGTGATGCTGGTGATGATGATTATGACGATGATGATGATGATGATGATGATGATGATGATGATGATGATGGTGATGATGATGGTAACTATGGTCGTGATTATGATGACGATGACGATGACGACGAATACGAATACGAATGCGGTGACGATGCTGATGCTGATGATGCTGATGCTGACGATGCTGATGAACCTGATGAACCTGATTATAATGATGCTGATGATGACTATGATGATGACGATCAGCATGATGATGATGATGATGATGATGATGATGATGATGATGATGATGATGATGATGATGATGATGATGATGATGATGATGATGATGATGATGATGGTGGTGGTGGTGGTGGTGGTGGTGGTTATGGTGATGGTGATGATTTGGGGGGATGTGGAGGAGGAGGCGGAGGAGGAGGAAGAGGAGGGGGAGGAGGAGAGGGAGACAACGAATAATGGAGTCCGAGAGGCGGGCAGGGCCTCGCAGCAAGGACGGGAAGACGGGGTGAGGCGTCAAGGACCATGGGGATCCCCTCACGCTCTCAGCGAGGCGCATCCCACAGGAACCCATTTAATGGTTCAGTTCTCTCCGGGATCCGGGACGCACTGACCCGGATGATTGTAAACCTGGGGCACCCGGGCCTTGCACGATGCTGAAGGATCCTGCAGGCCAGTGCACCCCTGGCTCTGCAGGATCCTGGAAGATACGCCCTGGCTGACCCCCGTTTGCACTGACCACCGTCCCTTGAGCCCCGACAGGAACTGAGGGGCAACGTTAGGCAGGGGGGACCGGCGCAGGGGGGGGATTCATCGAGCTGGAATCGGCGATACACCGCCGATAGATCGGCGATAGAGGCCCCCGATAGCGAATCCGTATTTTCTGGGCAGGGTGGGGCTATCGGGCCCGTATGGTCGATGAAAAAGCGATTGGGAGTCAATGCGTCCCTCGGCTGAGCCCATTCTCCTATAACCTTACCCCTGAAGAAGCATCGGAACGCGCTCTAAGATCAAGACGAGGAGGCGAATGGCGACCGCTGCGCCTTGACGTCCTTGAACTCCTGGCCCGTGTATGGCGACATCATGGCCGGCGGCCCCATCATTTCTGTCTGCGTTCCGCGCGCAACCTCTTCGCTGCGATCCGCTGGACGGCCCCCCTTCGTGAGCAACAAACGGCTCCAGCGAATGACGCCGTCATCCTGTCATCCCCACCTTCCTCCTCGACAGTTGGGGGATGAAGCTAGCTGTGGCCGCCTCCAGATTGCCTGGGACACGTGTTGCATATCGCAGAAATGTAATCCATGCTCAAAGGATGCCTGCTGGCAGCTCACACGTGTCTCATAACGTCTCCGCGCTTCGGATTGCGCGTCCCTCTGGTGACGCCGCACAAAGACTCGGCGAACGTCACTGGCATTCACTGGGCTGGAGTGAGCAAGTCCGTGCTCGCGATGCGGAACAATCGTGAAAAGCTGCCCCGTCCTTGCTCTTCATGACGAGTGTAGTGCTTAATCGTGGGCCTGGGCACGGGCAACCCTTCGAAGCTGTGAATGCTAAGTGAAGTCGCTTCAGTTCGCTGGCCATTGCAGGGCCAAGAAGCCACGAATACCAGGCTCTGATTATCTGAGAAGTCTCCGACTTATGCATGTTTCCATGTTTCCACGTACTATTCTTAACAGAAGCAATGGTCGAGCGAAGAGTGGTTGCGCACAAGACGCGCACCAGACGACTTGTGCAGGGAAGTGTTTGTCCAACAGATGCGCGAGTACGAGTCCGCCAGTGTGGCCAAGACCTCGCGCAAGACACAGCCAGCACAAAACCGCACAAGACTTCCCGCACAACGCCTCGCACAAGACCTCTAGGACCTGCATCGCTTTTCGACGGCCCCGAGGCCCAGCGAGGGCCCCCGGAGGCCGAAACCTCCGAAAGAACTCCGTCTCGATGTCTTTACGACGCGATCGCATCTGGGTCTCCTGCCCCAGGCTGCGACGCGCAAAGCACAATCATCCTCGCGGCCCTGCAGGCAGCCTGGATCGGAGGAGGGCCAGTCGAGACATCGGCGGCCCCCAGCGCGAGGCGGGCAAGGGGGGAAGACGAGGAGGAAAGGGGGCGGCGGTGGGCACTGCGGAGGGGAGACAAGTCCCGAGCAGAGCAACGCGCACCACGGCCACGACAACGCCGGCGACGGCGGAGACGAGAAATGCCAACGATCCGCCCCGAAGCACCGACTTGTGAGAAAGCCGGCCCTGCCAGGTACTGGTACACAGCACACCGTCGAGCAGTTCTGATGCAGCTCCCCGAGGAAGCGCGAGGGGGAAGGGAGGAGGGGTGCCACCGATGTCTGCTTTGGCTGAGCTGGAAAATCATCTATGGAAAATACCGCCAGCCCGGCAGCTGCCTGGCGGCCTGCGAAGACGACGAAGACGGCGACAAAGATGGACCTCCGAGACGGCACAGATGATACGGTCGGAAACTATTGATTAGCGTTTCGCGGCGGCGGCCCTGGCGATACGCCATGCCCTGCAAGCGGATAGCGTGTCGCTCCACTCCGCGGGCCGGGAGGCTGGGAAATGCTCGGGACATCGACGCTCGGGAAGACGCGGTTAGCGTGTCGCGCCGAAGCGTGGTGGGCAAGCGGCGTGACATGCTGAGCCGAGCTTCTGACCTTCTGCCCCAAGGACGCCCAAGATGATTTCCGAGACGCCACATATGAGTTGCACTGCCCAACGCGGCCTCGACCTCGACGGAAGGGGGAGGGATGAGGGAGGATCGAAGGCCGAAATGTTCTAGCATGTTCTGCTCTTTTGGGCCTCTGGGGGCCACGGAATCGTCTGGAAGCCTCCTGGGACATCGGAAGGCCCTGGGAGACAGCTAGTGAACCAGAGACCTCCAGGAAACTCCAGAAATTCATTTCGTTTTAGTGTGCCCTGCTTGCTTCGCCAGCGCCTGGCCCAACAAACCCGCGCAAACCTCTGAACATCGATCTTGTCTCGGAGGCGGCTGGGGGGTCTGAGCTGGATAAGCCCAGAGAAAATCTGTCAAAAGGGGGGGTGAGCGCAAGTCCGGTCAAAGTCAGCCCCTGGAACCCTCCTGGCCTTGAAACTGACGAGTTTTCCGAGCCGCGCCCATCCGTGACGACGAGGGGGCCCCTTTCTCCACCCTGTCTGCTGGCCGCCACCAGGTGCTGCGCCACCCCGGCCAGCTCCAACTCTGCTCCTCGATTCCCCGCCGCCTCGGCCGCCTCCGCCTCCCCTTCCTCGCAAACGTTCGTGGCGTCTCGCTCGGGTGCCCACCTCGCCCGGTTCAAGAAGAGCCCTCCGGGCGAGGGGCACCGGACGCGTGCGGCGTGGCCTCACACGGTCGGGATAGCGTGTCGCTCCGCCCTGGGAGAAGCTCGGGACGTTGACGTTCGGAGACCGGAGCGTGGATAGCGTGTCGCGCCGAAGCGCGGTGGGCCGGAACTGGCGGCGCGACACGCTGAGCCACAATTCATGGCCGTAACTCTCTTCTTCCACCTGGTCCTCCTTCTCCTCCTCGGAGCCTCCTCGTCACCACGTCTCTATCCTCGGGCCGGGCTGGCCGCAAGATCCTCCGTCTCCTCCTCCCTCTCCTCTTCTTCTTTCTCTGCCTCCTCCTGCTGCCTCTCCTGCTGCCTCTCCTGCTCCCTCTCCTGCTCCCTCCTCCTCCCACTCCTCTCCTCTTCCTCGTTCTCTGTCTCCTCCTGCTCCCCCTCCTGCTCCCTCCTCCTCCTCATCCACGCCTCGACGGCCATCGAATCGATTATCGCAAGCGTATTCTCCTAGGGCTGTGGCCGAAGGTCTACAGCAAGCGAGAGCAGGCCAGAAGAGCCTTGACACAACAAGTTTGATATGCTTCCCCATTTTAACCGACACAGTCGCTATACTCGTGACTCTGCAATTCCTCATCCACCTCCACTTCCTGCTCCTCCGTCTCGTCCTCGGGAGGAGCAGGCCGCGAGAGAGCCTGCCAGGTGGGCCTTCGGGCCTTCGGGCTGCAGCAAGAAGCCCCTCGAGAGGGTCCAAAGACGTCTCCCAAAAGATCCTCGAGCGGCCCCGAGCTGGTCACAAAGAGGACCCCAAGAGGGCCCCAACAGGGCCCCAAGAAGACCCCAAGAGAGCCCCAAAAGGCATCCAAGATGCGCTCACGGCCAAAGATCCGCGAAGTCCCTGCGGAGCCGCAGCGCCGCGCCAGTGTTAGGTCGGGCATGTTCCCCTACAGAGGGATTTTGGGCGAAAAATAAAATATACTCGAACGATCTTCAAACATTGTCAAACACATACCAGGAAAACCGTCCCCTGACGATTGTTTGACTATGTTTGAACATTCCTCCTGTAGAGGGACAAGCCCGACTTAAAGATAGCCCCAAAAGGCCTCCAAGAGGCGCTCGCGGCCAAAGATATCCGCGAAGGACCCTGCCGGGCTGCGGCGCCGCGCCAGTGGCGAGAGGGTGGCAGTGACTCGAGCAGCTCCCGTCCCCGTCATCCCCTCCGATCCGACGACTCGATACTTCTGAGACTCGGGGCCCTGGACCTCTCGACCTCTTCCTCGAGACCGGCAGTTCGTCCCGAGTCGCTTCTGACAGCCCCAGGGTGGTCTCAAAAGGACCTCAAGAGGGCCCCAAGAGGGCCCCAAAAGGCCTCAAAGATCGTTTCCCCCGGTGCCGTAGGCGCCCCGAGGAGGAGGAGGAGGGGGAGGAGGAGGAGGAGGGGGAGGAGGAGGAGGAGGAGGAGGAGGAGGAGGAGGAGGAGGAGGAGGAGGAGGAGGAGGAGGAGGAGGAGGTGGAGGAGGTGGAGGTGGAGAAGGTGGAGGAGGGGAAGGAGGAGATGGAGGGGGAGGGGAAAGAGGAGATGGAGGAAGGGGGGGAGGAGGAGGAGGAGGAGGAGGAGGAGGAGGAGGAGGAGGAGGAGGAGGAGGAGGAGGAGGAGGAGGAGGAAGAGGAAGAGAGGAGGAGGAGGAGGAGGAGGAGGAGGAGGAGGAGGAGGGGGAGGGGGAGGAGGAGGAGGAGGAGGAGGAGGGAGGAGGAGGAGGAGGAGGAGGAGGAGGAGGAGGCGGACGGCTCGCCTAAGCCCTTCGGAGGAACCCTCCACTCCATCCCCGTCATCCCTGGAGCTCCGACGACTCGACGTTTGTGAGACTCGGGGCCCTTGACCTCTCGACCTCTTCCTCTAGTAGAACAAACGGCATAAACAAAAACATCAACTTTTGGCGCTCCGCGCGGATTTCTTGAATCTGCGCCGGACCCCCCCCTCCCCGGCGTGCGGAACGCGCCAGGGGCGGCGCCGGAGGCTCCGCCGGGGAGGCCCAGCGCGGATCCAAGAAACCCGCGCGGAGCGCCAAAAGTTAATGTTGATGTGTTTTTGTTCTTCTTCGATTCCTCGAGACCGGCAGTTCGTCCCGAGTCGCTTTTGACAGCCCCAGGGCCCGAAGCCTGCTATATTCGGAGGCCGACAAATATCAGACTCGACACTGTCAAATCTCTGGAGGTCTGGGTCCCCGTATCATCATCCCCTGTACATCGGGTCGGTCGGAAGGGTGGGAAAACAACGGGGAGGTTGAAGAATCTGCTTAGGTAGCCCAGTTTTCCCGGCGCCTGCTGGCGCCGGAGGCGACCATGTATCGATGGAAGCGCCTGGCCGTGGAGACGAAACCCGCTACGTGCAGGAAATTTCGTGCCCTCCCTTTGCTAATCGTTTCGCCCCACCCGATGTTCGTCCTTCTCCGAATCCCCACCCCCCTTGATGCTACTTTTCCCCATCATCCCCTGTTTCCTCCTTCAACGCCTCATCCCCTGCATCCCATTCCTACCCGTCCCATCTCCTTCTCGTCATCCTCCCCTGTATTCTCCCTCTCCTCCTCACACCCCGCATTCCCTTCACCCCCCTGCCCGCTTTCCCCTTCCCTGGATCCTCGCTCTCCTCCCCTGCTCATCCCCTTTTCGTCCCTTTCTCGTCCCCTTCCCCTGTGTCCTCCCTCTCCTCCTGCATCCCCTGCATTCCCCTCTCATCCCCTTCTCGCCCCCTGACCGTCCCCTCCTCCTCCCCTTCCCCTGTGTCCTCCCACTCCTCCTTCATCCCTTGCATCCCCTTCTCATCCTCTGCCCCTCTCGTCCTCATGGCACCACTGGACTGCACCCAGCGTATGAGAAACCTCCTGCCGAGCGCTTGAGACACATCCTATTCAAAGAGTGCTCATCACCCACTCGTGCCGTCTCGTGTCCTCTCTCATCCCACGCATTCCCTTCTCTTCTGTCCGTCCCCTCCTCGCCCGCGTCCGATTAATTCATCGTTTCTGACGTTGCGCGAACGAAGGGCCTGAGCATGAAGCGCTGGTGATAGTGCAAAAAAAGACTGCCGCCTCGGGCGAAACAGCAATCAAACGAGGCCGCGGACGGGTGCAGAAACGGCTGCGCAAGAAGAAAAGGCAAAGAACAATGGCCCTCCAGGGAGAGAGTCACTCAGCCCGGGGCCATCACCTCCTCGTCCGTCTCCTCCCTCTCGTCCTCGTTCTCCTCCTCCTCCTCCTCCTCGTTGCTTGTTCCTCTTCATTTTCTTTGTTCAACTCCTCCTCCTCCTCCTCCTCCTCCTCCTCCTCCTCCTCCTCCTCCTCCTCTCCTCCTCCACCTCCTCCTCCTCTCCTCCTCCCGTTTTCTCTCCTCCTCCTCCTCCTCCTCCTCATCCTCATCCTTGCCTTCCTCCTTGCCTTCCTCCTTGCCCTCCTCCTCCTCCTCCTCCTCCTCCTCCTCGCCCCCTTCCCATTACCTCCTCGTCCCTTCACCCCCCTCGTGCCCTTTCGCTCGCGCCGCGTCGAGCCGCGGTCCAACCCGGCAACGGCGGGCGGCCGACGGCGCCCGTGGGCGCGGCGCGGCGCCTCAGAGGCCCTGGACCTCCGCCGGGCGAGGAGGAGGAGGAGGAGGAGGAGGAGGAGGAGGAGGAGGAGGAGGAGGAGGAGGGGGAGGAGGAGGAGGAGGAGGAGGAGGAGGAGGAGGAGGAGGAGGAGGAGGAGGAGGAGGAGGAGGAGGAGGAGGAGGAGGAGGAGGAGGAGCAGGAGGAGGAGGAGCAGGAGGAGGAGAGGAGGAGGATAGGGAGGAGGAGAAGGAGGAGGAGGGGAGGAGGAAGAGGAGGGGGAGTAGGAGGATAGGGAGGAGGATAAGGAGGAGGAGGAGGAGGAGGAGGAGGAGGAGGAGGAGGAGGCGCCCGAGGCGAGAGGCGACGACACTGGTGGCGGCCGCCGCGCGGTGCGCATGCGGGCACAAGAGTTAGGCTGGGCGTGAACCCTCCTCGAGGCAGTACGCACGCCCCACCCCCCGACCCCACCCCCCACCCCACCAGCCCTAGGCGAGGAGGAGGAGGAGGAGGAGGAGGACAAGGAGGAGGAGGAGGAGGAAAAGGGGGAGATGGAGGAGGACGCCGACGACCGACAGAGGTTCGCCCCACTTCGGCATGCGGGGGGGGGGGGCGACCATGCAGGGATTGGGTCGGGGTGTCGTCCGACACCTCCCGCCCCACCCGTCCCCTGTCCCAGCACGAACCTGGCGATCAGGAGGGTGAAGACACCTCAACAACGATTGCGCCCTCGTGCGCCCGACCCCCCCCGACTCCGGAGGGGGGGGGGGCTGGAGAGGCTGAGCGGGCGCGCTTCGCTGGTTCACCTGGGTACATTAGTTCCCCAAACTTGTGCTCGTAGGGGTTTTTGCTGGTGCCACCAAGGAACTGGAAAGAAAAAAAACCGCCGAAGTTTCGCCGTTCGGCCGCCCGTGGCCGCCAGGTGGCCGCTACGTTGCCGTTCCCTTGGGAGGTCCGCCGAGGTTTCGCCACATACGTTGCATCACATACCGTGCACCACACAGCGTGCATCGCATATTACGCACATACACAACGCAAGAACTCATCTGTTAGGGCTCACGCTGACAAACATGTGCATGCGTACGTCAAACTCAAGTCGTGAGGGCCCAAGCGCTGGTGAATGGCACCGCGTGGATGGCACAACCCTCAACGATCGCGGCTTGCCAATAACGCAAATCGTTTGACGTCGGCCAGTTCAAAGCAACTGGCAGCGTTCAACCTTGAACAAGATTGCTGGGTTTGCCGTCGCGTGGACACAACACGAACATACGCCACCGAGACCCAGTCGGCCATGATGGCGGCACGGGCATCCTGCCCTCCACCCCTGCCGCTCCCCTCCCACAGCCGTCCTGCAACAGGAGCGGCGTCCGTCTCGAAATCGTGGTAAGGCAGAAATGTGGATGGGGGTGCCCCATGCCATAGGGCCACGACGACTGGTTTGTCGAGTGCCCCCCACCCCCCCTTCGGGCCTCCAGAAGCCCGCGTGCTGCGCCAGTCTGGAGCAACCCGAGCAAACGGTGGCTCTGCCTCCTCTGCCGCTCGAGATGCCTCTCTGACGAAAGCAAGGCTGCGAGAGAGAAGGAATATTGCCCTGGCAGCGTGCTGGGGCTGGGCAAACACGTCACCCAGCCGATTGGACACAATCTTTTCGCTCTTCATGCAAATCGCGATGAATCGCTGGCATGGCGAGCAAGTCTAATGGGAGGTATAGCGAATGTACTCCCAGAGGCCTCCATCAGCGGCGCCTCCAGTCCTTTATTTTACTTTCAGCCGATGTCCATGGGATATCATTTCCAACGCGCGACGCCCCAAGGGCTCAGATGCTGCCGCTCAAATGCTCGAGTCGCCCTGGCGAAGTCGCGTCATTCCCGAGCCGCGCGATGGCCCTCATCACGCAGCCTCCTCTTCCGCTGCCTCTTCCCTTTCCTTCTCCTGGCTATCAGGTCAGCGGGGCACTGGAACGCAACGACAGGGCGAAGGGAGAACAGGCGGGTACAGAAGGGAGCAGCGGGTCCAACCTCCACCGCCGCACGAATTACATCGAGATCCGCTGCGTCCGCCCGAGTAGATTCGACCCCCGGGCCAGCGCGAACGTAAACCTGCGGGGTCCGCCATCGAGGCCTCCGCGCTGAGGGCACGCTCCTTCATCGATCTGCAGCCAATAATTCGCAAAGGCTTCCCCGCCGCAAACAACGAGCCACGGCGCGCTTCTGCCGCGGCGCGCGCTTCTCGCAACTCCCCCGCGACGTTGCGCGCGATGTCGCGCGAGTGCTCAAGATTGCCAATGCTGCCCTGTCGCGCTCACGCTGGCGCCGCGCCGCATCCGTCGCCACGGCTTTCAGCATCCGGGGGGCGCGCGCAAGAGCGACGCCACCGCGCCGCGGCGTCGACCCGAATGCCGAAAACTCTCGCCCGCCACTCGGCGCGCTGGAGGTGGGGGGACGCGCGCGAGATTCGGCTCTTCATATTCCCACAACGAGGACGGGGTTGCGCGATGTCATGCACTGCCGGAGACATGTCAGCCCAATCGCGGACGCGGAAAAGAAATCGCCCAGGGGCAACCGCCGCGCGCCAGACTGCGCTGGCTCAAGAGATCGCAGTGGCGACGCTGACATCTGCCACCGACTCGCCATGGGGCGCGATCTCGGCCGACAGAGTCGCCGCGGATCGATGGGGGGCGACAACTGAGCAGCGCAACTCCAGCTGGCCGCAAGACATCATCGCCCATGCCCAGAACTGCGCTGCAATGCGCCAGAGCAGGCCTTGGCCCGCCGCGCGGATATCTGCCGCGCGGCGCTTGCCATGTGAGAGCCACGCGCGGAATCGAAGCACTCGACCGTGTCGCAATTTACACAGACGAAATCGTTCACGTCGTTCCCAAAAGGTTCCCTTCGCAGACCAAGCCTGCGCCGGCGCAAAAAAGCCCAAAGGTTCAAAGACGACGAGTGCGTCGTCGACCCCGGCCGGCGCCCGCGGAGCTGTCGGCGGCGAGTCAGAGCCGCCGCTAGCGACGGGGGGCGCAATCGCGACGGCCTTGGTCTCCGACATGTTCGCTCTGACTCGGCCAGTGGGCGGGCGGTGGAAATCTCGAGGGGCGTCGAGAACAAGCCGCGGGGGCGCGGCCTTATCCCCCGCGGCCGACGCCGCATCGTCGCCCACGCGCGAAGCCAGACGCGTCGGAAGAGGAGGGCGAGCAATGGGATCATCATCTGCACCGGTGGCGCAGGCCCGGGCAAGTGCGTCGCCGAAAATGCGCGCCGGCACGGCGGCCGCCATCAACAATGGGCGCCACGCGGTGGAAAGAATGGCCCAATCTCGCCATTGCCGGAGGGCGCCAGAGATACGAGACCTATGTTGCTTCACAGCAGCAATTCGGCCCCTGACTTTCGTCCTGGGCTTGGTTTAGTGAAGCGATGACATTCGGGGTCCTTACGTGGGAAAAAAACATCACTTCACTAATCTGGGGCCCCTGGGGCCTCAGTGGGCCCTGGGGCCCAAAATTGATGAAGTGATGGTTTTCGGGCCTCGGAAGAGATTGCGATCGCGTTTCGGGTGGAAGCCGTCGGCGGTGGAGGGCGTGGAGCGACTGGCGCAACTTCACGGGGACCCCGCACATCTCCTCGATCGCGGCCCGCGATGGGGGCATTCTCGGTCAGGGGCCCTAGCTTCAGGAAGCGCAAGATGCCCTCCGCTCGTGCTTCGGCGATTCCACGCCCGCGCGCAGCGCGCCTTCTGGGCGGCTGGGCAAATCGCTGGGGCATTCCTTCGCAACGCATGGACACCGCGACGACTGCGAGCGGGTAGTCTCGCCCATCGGCAAAGCCTGATCCATCGTTGTCACGCCGATCATTCCAAGACCGCTGCTGTAAGATCGAGGCCTACTTGGTTGCTGCTTCGGGCTCGGCGGCCATCTGCTCGCCGCGCCGAGTCGCTCTCTGCCGCCGATGGGTGCCCGCGCTACCCGGGGCGCGCGCGCGGCCGTTCTCCCGACGCCGCAACCTGCGAGTTCAACCGGACATCCAAACCTCCATCCGAATAATTCCCTACCACGCAGGCCCGCATGAGAGGCAACAAACCTGCGGGGGCATCACGATGCATCAATTCCCGCGCAGCCACGATCGAAAGGCCCATGCCAGACCCCGCGGAGCCGCTGCCACCCCCGACGCATCAAACCCGCACCCGCCCCGCGGTCTTTCCGAGAAAGCGCCGGCGCCCATCGCCGAGTGAGATGGCGATTGCGAATGAGCTTTTCCCAGAAAAATCTGGAACTCAAGCCGCCTTTCAACTTCAAAGTCGTCAAGGAGTGCCGCCCACGCGTGGTTGAGATTCCCCCGCGCCTCCACAACTCAGCGACGCGCAGCCGAAGGCGGTGCTTCACATCTGCCCACTGCCGCGCCGCAGAGCACCTGCGAGGCTCAGGCCGAGGACCCACCAGAGGCATGGCAGGAAGTCAAACATGAACATGGAACACCAACTGCTGGGCGCCAGCAACATCAAGTCGAAGTTGCGCCCAAAATACGGCGGGGCCCACCGCGCGACTGAGAGCACTAACAGCTCAACCGCTCGAACGCGCTACCATGCGATGCTAAGACCTATGCGAGCGTGAACATGTCGCCGCCATCGCGCACGCGCGTCGAACAGGAGCGGCAGCGATCAGCCCAGCCTTTCGCGCGAGACCTATATGTTCGATGGCGCTTGGCTCCGCGTTCCAGTCCGCCCCGGCAAGACGCGAGCCATGATCGGGGCACAGAACACCCAAGTGTCGTTGGGATGCCCAAGTCGGCCTGATCAAATCCAAAACAATCGTGGAATCACGCCGCGTAAACAACCAAGCGAGGCCAACCAGGGAATCAACAACCGCGGGAACAAGACGTCCCTTGACCAGCCCTCCGCAGGTAGGATCCCAACGTAGAGCGGGCTGCTGGCGAACAAAGACTGCATCACCAGTCGAATGAGATCCATGCGCCCACTCCGTAGACGCACTTCGCAAACAGCGATCGCCACGAATAGCACGCTGAAGCTCAGGACCAACTGCTTGGTCCGTATCGATCTCCTGTGCACGCACAACCCGATAATCAAAGTCTCTCCAATGATCGAGCAGCGCAGACCCGCAGCCGCCACAGGATAGCTGTGAGCCTGCCGAGGGCGCGCCTGGTGAGCTTTGATCCCTTGTGCTGTTGCGCGTCACGCTCAGTCGACGCGATTGGGATACCGCGTAGCAGCGGAAGGCTGCTAAACTGGCGGCTGCTGCGGCTGTCCTGCGCCAGCGGCAACACGTGCTCGCTTGGCGCCCATAGCCTCCAACTGCTCTTTGAACGTCCACTTGTCTTTTGCAAAACGCTACAGCTTCTCCGCACCGCCAAGGGGGCAGTCCATCATAAACAAAATGCATGTTGCCGCCTCGCCCGCGACACCTAAAGCCGCAAAAATATCGGAAGCCGTTGCCGTGGAAGCCGTCGGCTTCATTTGCATGAGTAGCTCGTAGAACTTTGCCAATGCGGGATTGGCCATGTGACGCCAGCGCGGGGCTTCAGGACCTCAGTTGGCAACCCAAACTTGATCTCCGTAACTGTCGGCGGATCCGATGCAGCAGACTGCGGCATAGTGCGCCGCAGCCCCCCATTCAGGGCAGCAGCCTCACGCACGAGGCTGCCTCCTTCTCCCGCAGTTCAACGAACGACACGTCTAAGCAGTTTCGTGGACTTTGCGTTGGATGGCAACTGCCTCAGCAGCTGTGTCATGCATGCGCTGTGCCGCCTGAAACCGAAAAGGTAACATTGTTGTGCTGCTGCTGAACAAGGTTTGCGTCGCGCTGGGGCTTGCTCTGCGCAACCGCTTCTCCAAGCACAACTTGGTAGGGTCACTGGCGCCGGCCTCTTCCGACGTCTTGAGGGCCTTTTCCAGGAAATCAATGCGTGCAACACGCTGCCCATCAGGATCAGCAACAAGACCAGCATCACCAGGCGGCGCTGCCGCCCGGAAACTCCCCGTCGCCCCAACCTTCGGGTCCTCTGATAATCTTGTACTTCTGGTTGAATTTCTTCTCCAACGCTGCCGCGATGGAGGCCGCCAGGTCTGGCTGCGACGGGCCGACATTGGCCCAGCGACCCCTTCGACGCTCGAGGTGCACATGGAACTGGCCGCTGGCTCCACTCGCCCTCATTCTTCCACGCAGTCTGCACCACACGCCCAGGATACGACTGGCAATTTGCAGTGCGGCAGAAAAACAAATCCGAAGAGGCAGACGCGAGCCTCTGAGTACGGAGCTCTATCCAGACACAGCTGAACTGGCTGGAAGAAGATGCAAAAAGCATCCGACCCGAAAGCAGAGCAGCGAGGCAGGCCGCTCCGAAGCCCGCCTCGAAAAGCTCAGGAACCGCCCGAACCAGAACGACTGAGGAGAAGGTTGAGGTGGAGGAGGAGATCTGGATCTGGATCTGGATGAAAAGGCTCATCGTCAGCCTTTAGAAAGCGTACAAATCAGCGGCGAGACATATGCCTTGCCATGAGCACAGAAAAAGAGAGCGTGGCAGTCCTGCCGCCCACCACGGCTGCACAAAGACAGGTTCGGGCAACGAGGTACTGACACTGACAACGACTGAGGCCACCGCTCTGAAGCTCGCCTCGACAAGCTCAGGGAACGCCCGAGCCAGAACGGCCGAGGAGGAGGAGGAGGTGGAGGTTCAGGAGAAGAAGGGAACAATTACCTACGCCGCCCCCTCCCCCCCCCGCGGGGAACGGATGAGGAGGAGGTGGAGGTGTCATCGATCTGTCTGCCTTTACTTTTTCCAACTACCTACACGTGAAAAATACGTGCGCCACCGGTGACCCCTGGAGCGGTGCTCCAAGGGCCACCTGGCCTTAGTTTGTTCTCCCTCACCCAGGGCCGACCGGCGCCCCTGGGGGGGGAAGCTACGAACGACGTTCCTCTCAGCCATCAGGAATCAGGAGTCAGGCATCGGGTGGAGGTGGAGGAGGAGAAGGAGGAGGGAGGACCTCCACCACCCCCTCCCCCGACGCGGGGGCCTTGACCTCCTCGCCTGCCCATCGCAGCAGTGGCGAGCCGCCCCCGGCGGCGCCTTGCACCTCGGCCCAGCGGCAGGTCACGCCGCCCGAGGCCGCCGCCGCGGCGGCGTCCTCCGGCCGCGCGCAGACCCCAGGCCGCGACCACTTTTTTTCTTTCCCGGGTAACGGTCGTCTCCCCAGGGGGGGGGGGAGGGTTCGGGCGGGAGGGTAAAGGTACCGACGGCCGCGGCGTGCACCCGCCAGGGCGCGTCCGCGCCACCAGCGCATCAATCGCCTGTGTGCACCACAGCATGTAAGGGGGGGGGTCCAGGCCACCCCCCCAAATCCGATCGTCAGCGTTACCCGGGGGGGGGAAGGGAGGGCTTGGCCAGGGTGACGAGCGGTACCCCTTGGTAGGAGGAACAAAAACGCTCGCATCTTCGACGACCTACACCGTCTGACAATCGATGATCGAGGGCATCGAAATCGGATCGAATCGAACCGGAGGAATCCAAACGAGCCCTGCACGTGGGCGCACCGCGTCCCCCCCCGGGGAACCACCCGCTAAGCGCGCGTGGCCGCAGGCCGAGGGGGCACTCCGAGGACCAGCACCCGGACAGGCAGCCGCTGCCGGGGGGGACGAAAGGGTAGGATGGCAAAGGGGGACGAAAGGGTAGAGAATGGCGCCTCCTGGTGCTGGGAGGCGCCCATGTATCGAGGAATGGGCCCAGCGACTGGGCCGACACCAGCTGCATGCAGCAAGTTTCGCAACACCCTCTGTCCCTATCCTACCCTTTCGTCCGGCCCGAAACTATGGGCAAGCGCTCGTCAGTGGGCCTCTGACGCACGCGTTCAAAAAAGGAACAAGGAATAGTCTTCTGGGGGGGTAAAAGATGGAATCGTTGCGGACAGTACGATCCCCCAAGACTCAGAACTCGAGATCCACCCTGAGCTGCCGGTGCTTCCTCGTGCCCTGGCTGCCATGAAGAGCCTAGGCCACCCATTGTCGCACAATTCTGCGCGCGATACGCAATGCGCAGCTATCTTGGCGACCTCATACCGCCGCCATGGACACGGCCGACTCTCCTGCCCCAGGCGGCGATGCGCGGAGCGTGACCACCTGTCCGCCCCTGCGAGTAATCTGGATCGGAGGAGGGCCAGTTGACACATCGGCGGTCCTCAGAACGAGGTGAGCGAGGGGAAGACGGGGAGGGAGGGGAAGACGGGGAGGGAGGGGATGGCGGTGGTCACTGCATAATATGGGGAACACGTCCAGAGCGGAGCAGCACGCACCACGACACCGGCGGCGACGCCGACGACGACGGAGACGAGATGCGCGAACGATTCGCACCGAAGCGCGCAGTTGGGAAAAGGCCAAAACTGCAAGGTTTCGCACACAGCACACCATTGAGAGGTGAAGCGGCTTCCCTCCGAGCAAACACGAGGAGGAAAGAGGAAGCTGCCGATGGCTCCATTGGCTGAGTATCGTTTAACCGATCCCTATCCCCAGCGGCGTGGCCTGGGCCCCTCTGGCCGATTTACCCCCCTAGATGGGGATAGTGCTCGCTCTCTTCGGGTTTCGAGGGGTGTATCCCCAACGGGGGTGGTAATTTGGGGGGGGTCTCGAAGGGGATGGGGATGGGGATGGGGATCGGTCAAACGGTACTGATTGGCTGATCTGGAGAATCGGGAAACACAGCGCCACCAGCAGGGAGCTGCCCGGCGGCCCGCGACGGCGGCAGAGACGGCGACGGGCCAGCCACCGGGTGCCCCCCCCCCCGGGAGCGCCTCCCGCAGCCTCCGCTGCTCCCCGGGATCGCCCGAGGGGACCTCCGAGACGCCACGACGGCTGCGGGTGGGAGCTTTGCCTTCGCGTGTCGCGGCGGCGGCCATGCCGACAGCCTGAGCCCTGCCTGCGGCCAGCGTGCCGCTCCGCTCCGCGGGGCGGGAGGCGGGGAAGGGCTCGGGGCGTTGCCGCTCGGGAGCAGGGGAGGTGGTTGCCGCGTCGCGCCGGAGGGCGGTGGGCAAGAGCAAACGGCGCGACACGCTGAGCACAACATCCGGCGTGTATCTATTCAGATTTCAGCGCATTGGAAAACGCACAACCCAACATCCTTCGAACATGTTCTGCCTCTGAGGGCCCTCGCCAGGCCCCAGGACCGGCAAACAACAACCTGGGACGAAAAACCTACCCTCGGGTCGGGACTTACCAGGGCCCTGTATTGAAAAAAACTCCAGACATCAGATGCCTGATTCCCATGTCCTCGAGGATACGTGTTTTTCAGTTGTTCAATCCTGGCGTTTCTACTCGACTTCGGCCTCTGGGCCCGCTGTCATAGAGGCCTCCCAAATGGGATCAGAGTAAAAGGGGTCGGAGGATCGCGTCGCATCGGCGATACATCGGCGACGGCGATGCACTAGCGATGCGTCAGCGACGTCGGCGATGCGCCACGATCCTCCGACCCCGTCCACTCGGACCCCATTTGGGAGGCCTGGAGTCGTCAGGCCTCGGCTGAGGCCGCGGATTGGCGGAGGAGGGCCAGTCGAGACAGCCGCGGCCCTCCCTGGCGCGTTCTCCATCCTGTTTCGGACCTCCCGGAAGCAGCCGCTCATCGCCACGACTGAATTTCCACCTCGAGGGGGCCGATCTTTCAAGGGGACCTGGGCCCAGGCGGGAGGGCCGCCGCTGTCTCAGCTGGCCTTCACCAGATCATTACAAGACGAAGCCAGGACGAGGATACCATCGGGTGAGGATCAAATCGAGAATCCCTGAGATCCCGCGGCTCTGGAGACTTTATCGGGAGCCGCGGCCTTCTCAGAGCGTCCCAGAACGCTCTGGAAGTGTGATGGAACGCCCTGGAACGGATGTATCCTCGTCCTGGCCCCGTCCGAAATTAGCAGGCTGTGCGCATAATGATACACTTTAAAGTCCGCGGGTGGCAAGTGTTCAAGGACGGTCAGGCGCCAGTCAGCGAGCGGTGGGGGGATGCAGGAAGGAAATCGGGTAGAGAAGCCAAAAGAACGCGCGAAATGAAACGCACATCTTTCCGGCATCGGGGCGCCTCTTCCAGGGCGGCTGGGAAGGTGATGCCCACACCTGCCGCTGTAGGGGCGCACCAACTTCTCAACCGCCCTGGGCAATACGCTCCCGACGGCGAAACAGTTCATCCGATACCGCCTTTCTTCCTTTGAGCGCAGGAATACCCTGCGCAAGGGTGACCTTTGGGGCGCGGCTTTCGGCGGCCACGGGGGGAGTTCGGATCCGCGCGCGGAAGCCAGTGCTGTGGCGAGAAGGACATATCCAGGGGGGGGCAATTAATGACTGGCGGCGCGCACAAGGGGGAAGGCTTCTTAGGAGGTTGTTTCTAAGAGGGTGCTGGCCCTACATCTGTAGACACGGCCCCCGCCTTCCAAGGACTAGGGCTACTTCTAAAAAGCCCTCCCTCCTGCCCCTACGGACCTTCCTCTGCGTGTGGCCGACATTACTTGGAATCGACGACTCATCGCCGATAGATTGATGACAAACCCCCGATGGCGAACCCACGCGCTTCTGGGCGTGCTGGGAGACCCAGGCCCCGCTTGGCAACGAGCGGGCGATTGAGGGTCGATGTCCCCCCCGGCCCCCCCCCTCGAGTCCAGTCTCCCAATTGTCGTTACCCCCCGGAGGGGGGGCCTTTGGAATCCGCCAGGGCTTCCTGAAGCCTCGAAACGAGTCCGATGGGCTCCAGGAGCCCCAGACACAACACCAAGGAGATTAGTAACCGTAGCCCAGATCGGTACAACCAAGACCCGCGTTGCGTTCCGCCGCCGACTACTGGCAGTCTCTGCTGCGCGGCGACGGAAAGGGACAACGAGAACGAGAAGCAAGCTGACGACAGCGAACGCGCAGGCGGGGGGCCAGGGCGCCCGGGACAAAGCAAGCGGGAAGGCTGGCGGGAAAGGCCGGAGGGGAGAGGGCAAGCAGGGAGCAAGGGAGGAGAAGGCGAATGAGAGGATGAGGGATGTGAGATGAGGAGGGAAAGAAGGAGCAAAAGCACACGGGCCAGGAGAGAAGGGCCACCCGCGACGAGGCCACGATCACTACGGCGGAGACACCGAAAAGGTGGCGGCGGAGGGAGTGGAGGCTGTTTCTCAATTCTTCCCCCGTAACACGTCCGTGACGGGCGAGTGTCTGGCCTCCGCTGGGGGGTAACAATAACGAGGCCGACGCGGGCACAGTAGCACTCGTAATAACGCCAGTAGCACTAGGTAGCAAAACTAGGTAGGCAACGGACTGGCTCGCAAACCGGGGACTTACGGACCAGCACCCAGACCGGGACCTTAGGAATCCCCAGGAATCCTGCGGAATCCCGAAAAATGCTCAGGAAGGCTCACGGACCAACACCCAGACTGGGGTCTCAGCAATCATTCGGAATATTAGAAAATCTTTGGAATCCAGGAGAATCCATCGGTATCCGCGGGAATGCCTGAGAATCCTCAGAACTCCTTCATCTATAGGGCTCACGGACTAGCGCCCAGACTGGGGCCGCAGCAATCCTGAGGAAACCTGCCTTTACAAAACCTTAAGAGCCCTTACCCTTCGGAATACGGACTGATCCTTAGGAATCCTTGGCCCGAATCCCTAGGAGGGCTCACGGACCAGCGTGCGTACCAGGGCCTCAACAATCCTCAGGAATCTCTGCGAATCCTCAGGAACCCCTAGGAAACCTCATGAATATTTCGTAATCCGGTCGAATCCGGGGGAATCCGAAGGAATCGCTGCGAATCCTCAGAGTTCTCCAGGGGTCCTTCGGAAACCAGAAGGATTATTGGAATCCCTCGGAATCCTTGGGAATCTCTATGAGTGCTCGCGGACCACCATCCAGACCAGGGCGTTAAGAATCCTTAGGGATCCTTGAGGATAGTTAGGAACGGCCACGCGTCATTGAAAATTCGGATGAGAAACCGTGAGGGATCCTGGAGAATCTAGATCGGAATCCGCGGGGATCCTTCGGAATCGTGAGGAATCTTTGGGAATCCTCAGGACCCGTAAACAATCAGTTGGAATCTGACTGGCACCCAGACTGGGGCCCCAACATTCCTTGGGAATCCTCACGAATCCTCAAGACTATTTCGGAGTCCTTACGAATCCGGAGAAATCCTCAGATGCTCAAGATCCTTCAGGATCCTTACGAGTCCTACGGAATCCTTTGGAAGGCTGACGAACCAGAATCCAATAAAACCGGGACACCAACAATCGACAGGCATCCTTCGGAATCCTGGGGGATCCTTAGAAGAACTCTTGGGAATCTTAAGGAATCTTGAGAAATTCGGGGCTCCTTACGAATCGAAAAAGAATCCTAGCGAATCCTGAAGAATCCTTCGGAATCCGAACGGAAGGATACTTAGGAATCCGTCGGAATCCTTCGGAGGGCTCAAGGACCAACACGCAGACCCAGGGCCTGAGAAATCCCCAGGAACCCTTCGGGATCCTGTCCGTGGAACGGGTAGCAGTCCTCAGGAATCCGGAGAAATCCTGGCAACTCTTTTGAATCGCCAGGAATCCGGAGGGTTTCTCAGAAACCCTCTTACGAGTATTTGGGAATATTTCGGAGGGCTCACGAACTAGCACCCACACCGAGGCGTCAGCAATCCTTAGGAATCCATTGGAATCCTCAAACATCCATCGGAATTGGGGAATCCTGAAGAATCTTTGCGAACCCTCGGGAATCCTTCGCATGGCTCACGGACCAGCACCCAGACTGGGGCCTCAGTAAACCTTCGGAATCGTTTGGAATCACTTGGAATCCTGCGGAACCCGTAGGAATCCTTAGGGATCCATTGGAATCCCAAGGAATACTTGAGAGGCCTGAAGGATCCTTGGGAATCCTTGGGAACCCTGGGAAGCCTTTACGAATCCTTCGCATTCCCTAAAAATCGTCAGCAAACCTTGGGAATGCAGACCTAAGAATCCTTAGGGATGTCCAGGAATATGTTGGAATCCTTCGGATTTCTTGGGGGCCCGACAGGTGACTGATATGTTTACGAGAAACGTATGACAAGCTCGCGAGCCGTTCCGACAGGTTTGTTGAGCGCACCACGACATATGTTGTCCTTTCAAAAAACTGATCCACCACCACTCCCCGTCCTGATATTTTCCGAAATTTCAAATGTCTAGGTCCGAAGCGTGGCCGAATAGATGGGGTCAGAGGATGGGGTGCGAGTGGATGGGGCCAGAGGATCGCGTCGCATCGCCGATACATCGGCGATGTTGTGCGATGCATCGGCGAGGTCGCCGGTGCATCGGAGACGCTGGGGTGGAGAAAATCGTGCTACACATAGATCCGCATCCCCAATGCATCGGCGATGCAGTGCGATCCTCCGACCCCACTTACAACGACCCCATCTAAGAAGCCTAGAGACACATGGCCAGTATTCCTGTAGGCACACAAAATGTTCCTAGAACCCAGAAGTGTTCCAAGAACCATAACGATGCTCGTAGAAAAAAAAACCCAATGTGTCACAAAAGAACAATTTGGGCAAGAATTGCTCTAAGGACACTTCGTGCAGACCGCAGAAGGTTCTCAGATCACTCCTTGGTGGGCCTATGGGCGAGCCAGGACGCTCCGCCACTGCTTGAAACCTGGGTGGCCGATCTCTGCTTCCGCCGGCTCCCGCCGAGGAGGAGCTGAGCGACAGCTTCTTCCGCCCTCGACGACGAGGCCCTTTCTCGACGGCCTCGCCTCCTCGGCCTCGCCCGCGCCAGCGGCGCAGGCGCCGCCGACTCCCTCCGCCGTGGCGGCCTCGGGCGCCTGCGGCGAGGCGGCACAGTGCGCCTCCGACGCGTTGGCCTCCGCGGCCGCCCCGCGCGCGCAGACGGAGAAGCTCCTGCGTGAGCAGGGGCCGACCGGCCTGGCAGGCCCCAGGAGGCCGACCGCGACGAGTTCCTGGAACCAGGTAGCGCTCCTAGAGCCGGAAAGAGCTTCCTAGAACACAGAGCCGACGTGGTACACCAAGACGGTCTCAGCCAGCAATGCTGTAAGAACAGTGCGTGCAAGCCATTAGCATTCCTATAGGCGAAATCAAACGAAGAAATAGTCATGACGGACGGTTGTTCTATATTTTCTGCTTTTTCGGGGGCCTTACTGGGCCTCGAAGCCGTCAAGAAACGACTCAGGACGAAGAGCTGGTCCTGGGGAGTCGGTCGAGACCGCTGAGGTTGACGTTTTGATCGGATCACGATGTCGGGTTTCGGGATGCGTGCGGGAAAAACTGACGATGCCCAACAAGGGGTGTTGTCCGAAGCCGACAGCGGCGGCTGTTGGACAAGCGACCTTTCGTCTCAAATGGGCAAAACCCGCGACGCCAACGAAAAAAACCAAGCTCAAGATGGACAAGACCGTTGTTGGTATTCGAGCCCATCCTTTCCGCACCCATCCCGTACCCTCGACGTCATGATTTTTGGGGAAGGTCGACACCAAAGGTCTCGACCCACTTCCCGGGACCAACTTTTCATCCTGAATCGCTTTTCTGGCGGTCCTGAGGCCATATAAAAGGCACCCAGAAGCCGAAAATAGCGAAAACGATCCGTGTGTTTTTCACGCTGCTAGCATATCTGGGTTTCGGGGATCTTCTGACCCGGGTCAATCCAAACCCGGGCCAGTCAGGCTTTGCAGGATCCTGCAGGATCCTGCGCCCAAGCCCCGGCCAATGCGACCCTGGCCCTGCAGGATCCTGCAAGACCCAGCGCTCTGGCCGACGCCCGTTTGTATTGAGCCCCGAGTTCTGTCGGGGGTTGCCAAAGGTACCCCTGGCCCAAGGTGTCCCCAGCTTTTCGCCCCGTTGTGGAGCCCCTGGGACCCCCTGGGCCTCGTGAGGGGTGCGTTGGAGGCCGTGGAGGCCCCCTTGGACATCCTGGGGGGCACCTTGGGCCAGGGGCACTTCAAGCAACACCCGACTCTGGGCTTCGATCGCACCGAGCTCCGGCCGTTGCCGCGGGCCACCACCGCGACGAGCCGCCCCGCGCCGAGGCGCAGCTGCGGGCCGAAGGGCTGCAGGCCGCCCGCGGGGGCCACGGCGCCGAGGCTGCAAACGACGGCGTGCTGCTCGGGGCTGGCGCCGTCCTCGGCGGCCTCCGCCGCCGGGCCCGCGGGGTGGTCGAAGCACACGACGAAGGCGCCCGCGGACAGCCGCTGGACCTCAGCTTCTGGCTGCTCGCTCGGCCGCTCGCACCACCCGATCGCGTCAGCTCATCGCGGCGTCTCGTGTAACGAAAACCTTCGGGCCAACCTCACCCCAGTGAGTACTATGAGCTCTTATGCTCATGGCCTCGGCTCGCCGAGGAAAGCGGCCGAACTCAAGCTGGTCAAAGGGATATGGCATGCGTGCGCTGTGGGCGACGAGACGACAAGGAGGACGCGGGGCGGCCGCGCGCGAACCCTTTTTCCCTGCGCCACTCGAAGCCAGCAGTGCTTCGGCGGCGACTCCAACCCTTCCTCGATCCTCGGGAGGAGGGAGGGTAGGAGCAGAGCGGGGGAAGGCCAAGTCGGACCGAGAACAACCCCAAAGCCAGCGGGGCTTCCGCTCAAAAGCACACGAGCCAGCAACAGGGGGCAAAAGACCACCTCAGCCCCGATCACGATGGCAGCCGTGCCGATCACGGACCGATCACGCACTCCAGCTCGGACGACCGCATGATCGGCGGTCAAGCGATTCCCCGATCACTGCGACCTGCAGTCGCCGATCGGGTGCCCGGCAGACGCTCAGCGCTGTGGACCTCCAGGTGGCCGACGCGCGAGCCGTGGAACTGCTGCGGGGGCTCCCACTGGAGCGCCGGGAGAAACCCCGCCTCCCGGGGAGACCAAAAGGGACCCGATGCTGCTACTCCCCGGACCTCTCCCGCAGGCCCAAAAAGGAGAAAACGGGCGAAGGGCAGAGGTATGGGCACTCCGAGTTCCTTCATAAGCGTCGGGGGGGCGTCACTCCCGCCAACAGCCCCACATCCACCCCCGTCGCGGGCAGCCACCGCGCGCCGAAGGCGCTCCGACCCCCGTCGCGGCCCGACGACGAGGCGAGGTTGACCCCCGTCGGGGGGTGCACCCGCACGCTTACTGAGAAACCCGGGGGTACCTTTTCCTCCTCGGGCCTCCCCTGCGCTGGCGCTGCCGGGCTGGCCGCCCTGGGCAGCCTCCTCCGTCGGGGCGGCGCCGCGGGGCTGGCCGCCCGCCTCGGCCCCCTCGGGGGCGGCGGCGGCGCCTCGGTCGGCGTCGGCCGCCGAGGGCAGGTCGCCCTGGCCGGCCCCCTCGGGGGCGGCCAGGGCGCCCGCCAGGGAGCGGTTGTGGGCCGCGGCCTGCAAGGAGGCGTCGCGGGACAGCCTGCAGTCGCTGTGCTCCGGGGTCGAGAAGCACATGACGACGCTGGTGGCGCTCAGAGCGACCACCTGGCGGCGCCCGAGGGAAGCTGCTGCACAAGGAACGCGTATGGGAAGGGCGAGACGCGGCAGTAGCCACCAGGTATAGGGAGGGAGTGACGCGAGGGAGACGCGGACGAGCAGGTGGATGAGAGATGAGCACAGGGGGAAATGGGGGCAAGGAAAGGAGGACAATATGGCGAACAACAAAGGGATAAGAAAAGGGGGATATTAGGGGATCCCAAAACCGTGTGGTGACAGACCGTGCGGTGGCCTCGGAACCCCACGAGACCTCACCGCACGGTCCGTCACCGCACGGTCTGGGGACCCTGGAGGCCCCTGTCGCCCGAGACGTCCTCGGAGAAGGACTCGAGTCCCCGATCTGTGCGGTGACCCGAATCCCCGCCGACTCACCACACGGTGTGGTCACCACCCCGTCTGAGGCCCCCCGAGATATGTGTTGTTCCCTTCGGATTTCGCGGGACCTATCCCCACCGGAGCGGGGGGGGGGGCTGGTGGTGCTGAGGTGCCATGGCCAACTGGGGATGGGGATCGGTTAGACGATGCTGAACCCTTCCTCCCCCCCCCCCCAGAAAGCGCCACCTGGCGCAGCTCCATGCCCGAGAGCTCGCCCTCGAACAGCGGCCTGGGACGGGCGCGGAATCTGGGAGGGGGGAGGGGCGGCGGGGAGGCGAGGCCAGAGGGCCACGCGGCTGCGTTCCTCCTCTTCCCTTGTCCTCCTTCTGCTCCTTCTCGTCGTCGTTGTCATCCTCCTCCTCCACCCCTTTTCTCCTTATCTAAGAAGGATTCCTCCGTGTCTCACAACGAGACGCGTCGGCCGGACGGGCCGGGCGTTTCGCCTGAGACCCTTGATCTCGGAATTCGCTACGGGTAATTGCAAGGACGTGGGGCGGGTGATCTCCAAAATGGGGTCTTCGCCCTGAAGCCGCGCACATTCGCTGTAAAAGTCCGCGCAGATGTCGCCGCTCAGAAGTTCACGAATGGCTGGTCTCGCCACAGCGCCGCGCACATCCGTCTGGAACGTTTGCAGGAGATTCACGGATGGCAGGCGGTTCCTTTTCCAACATGTGGTTCTCGCCCAAGCACCGCGCACACTCGTTCTAAACAATGGCAAACTGTCATGGATGAGAGGCTTGCAAATTTCAATATGTGGCGCTCGCCTCAGCGTCGCGCACATTCAATTTTGCAAGAGCCGCGCAGATTCATCCCAACAGTTCGCAAGAGCTTCACGGATGGATGATGCTTTTTTGTTGGTTGAGTATATATATATATATACATATATATATATATATGTAGCTTGTGGCTCTCACCATATCGCCGCGTACATCCGTCTTGATGGAGGGCGCGCGCATTTGTCTTGAAACTTTGTAACGCATTGGAATCGTATCGCGGTTGACGTCTCAGGAATGACGTCCTGGCACAAGTTTGGGTTGTCAGGGCGCAACGAACACTTTTATTCGCGGTGTTGAAATCCCAAGATTGGCGTTCTGGCACGTTTGAAGATCGTCAGGACGCAACCACAACGTTGATGCAACGTTGAACATCGCTGATACGTCTTAGGTTTACTCTGGTCCTACTCCACCTCCTCCTCCTCATCCTCCTCCTGCGTTGCTCCTTCTCCTCCTTCCTGCTTCTCGTCCTCGTCCTCCTTCGCGCACTCGTCTGAAAAACTTGTAATAGTTACAAGATGGAAGGGATCCAATGTCAAAATAATTATCTCGCCCAAGCGCCGCGCACATTCGTCTGAAAAGCTTGCAACTGTTCAATGACACTGACGGGAAGCATGTCACGATGGTGCTCTCGGTTGGGCGCCGCGCGCATCTGGTTGAACGAATGCCGGCATTGACAAAGAATGAAGGAGATATTGCTTTGAAAATGGAACTCTCGCTTAGCGCCGCGGGTATTCGTCTTGCACCTTCGTAACCGCTACATGGACGGAAGTGGGGCGTTTTTAATATACGGCTCTCGCCGTAGTGTACGCACATTCGTGTTAAGAGCTTACAACCGTTACATGGATGAAGGGCAGTTCGTTTTCAAAGCTGGGCTCTGGCCATAACACCGCGCCCGTCCTTCCTAACAGTTTCAAACAGCCACAAGGACGGAAGACGATTCCCTTTCGCAGTGGGGCTCTCGCTTGAGATTTCGAATCGACAAGCCTGAAACTTGAGCACACGTAGCAGCTGGACGGATAGATGCAGTTGCCCCCTTCAACATGGGGCTGTCTCTTGAGACTTCTTCGAAGTGCATGACCAGACTTGTACACTCGTGCGGCACTTGCATCGGTGGGGGAAGGTCCTTTTCAAAAGGGGATCTCGCTGGACACCGCGCTGAACTGTGCGATCGTACCTTTTGCGCGTTGCCTGCAAGTCGCCAGGGAGACGCAGGGCAGCTCTCTTCCAAAAGGGGGCCGTCGCCCGAATCGCAGGCTCGTGTGGTGCTGTTCCTTCGGTGGGACGCGTCTTGTAGTAAAAAGAAACGCCAGCAAGGCCTTGTGAAGAGGGGACTCGAGACGGGATCCCTCTTCCTCCTCCTCCTCCACTATCCTCCTCCTCCACCATCATCCTCTTAGTTCGACTACACGCAAGAAGGGCCCTGGGTAAGAGTGACCTTTGGTGCGCTGCTTTTTGAGGGCCGCGGGGGGCCAAACACAAGCGCGCAAGACGCTGCTACCGCTTCGCGTTCAGCGATCGGGGGACCCATTGAGCCCGCACCAGGGGTAAACCCGGCGAAAGTTCACCCTTACATGTAGTTGATTCATGCTTTGCCTCGTCGTCCTCCTAACAATGTCGCCTCCTCATACTCCCCCCATTCCTCTCCCTCTCCAGCTACTCCACCTCCTCCTACCGCTACTCCTGTCGGTCGTTCCTCCCCTCTCCTGGCCTCCGCGTTCGCTCTTTCGCTCGGCACTCCCAGAGCCCCTGGAGGCGTTCACACTGACTGAGAGCAAGCTGACGCCTCCGCATCACCATCCTCCTCCTGCTCCTCCTCCTGCTCCTGCTCCTCCTCCTGCTCCTGTTCCTCCTCCTCCTGCTCCCTGTCCTGGCGCGGTGCCCCTCGGCCATGTGTGTATGCTCGGCTTCGTGCTCCCCCCCAGGCTTCCGAGCCTCACCACGCTCTTCGAGGCGGGCGCGGCAGAAGCCGAAGCGCGCAGCACCGAAGCTCCACGACTCACCCCACGGGCTCGAATCGGGGGAGGGATCCTGGACTGCACGCTGGGGAAGCTAGGGACTCAGCGCCCTCGGCGCATGCATGGGCGCGAGGGCACGAGGGGTGGGAGCCCTCCAGGCTCCAACACTCCAGTCTGCCTGCTGCTCAGAGCAACACTGCAACAAGCTACCATCCCTCCACGCCTCATCTTTTCTTTCCTCCTCAGCATGCACATGTTCCTGCTCCTCCTCGTCATCGTCCTCGTTGTCGTCATCATCCTTATCATCATCGAGCCCCTCCTCCTCCTCCTCCTCCTCCTCCTCCACTTCCATTCCCTGCTTTACCCTCCAACTCTGCCTCTTAAGGCGGAATAAGGACATTCCTCGTTCTCAGTTGCTGACCGTTACAGGCTGACATTCTGAAACAAAACTTTTGAATGTTGGCGTACAAACAGGGACGCGCTGCGTCGCTACCCTGCGAACACGCGAGATCCATCGAAGGCTCGACCAGGACAGCATCGTGCCTTGAGCCAGAAGCGGGAATGCTTGTCTCGCACATCAGCGAAGCACGCGCAGGCCTCCTCCATACCGGGCCATTTGGCGGGTTCCGAAAACCCTGAACTCAAAAATGTTTCCATCTCTTGGGGATGCACCTCTTTGGACGCCTGAAATTGGTACGAAAACAATGTGTACAAACCCCAATAACTAAGGTTGCCCCAAACCAACAGCGGCCGCTGTTGAGCAGGAGGCCTGTGTCTCAAAATGACACCGTCCGCGGCGACACCCACAGCGAGTCCTGTTCAAGATTACGAGGCAATACTGTCGGTCTTTGTACCCATTCTTTCCATACCCGTTTCGATCGTCTCGAAACTTTCGCTTCCGCCAACTTCCGCCGACCTGGCGCCGGCTTCTGCCGGCCGAGGCGGCCTCATTTTACTTCCGCCGCCTTCCGCCGAGGAAGAGATGCCCACTCCTTCGAACCTCGAGGGCGAGGCCTTCTCTGGAACGCCTCCCGCGGCAGTGCCAGGCGCAGGGAGAGGCAAGCAGGGGCGATAGAGAGGGGGGGGGGGTAAGGAGCCGAAGGGGAGGGAGAGGGGAGTGGCGTCTTCCCAGCGGAGCGGAGGGGGGGAGGGGCGGGGGGGGGAGGGGAGGGAAAGGGAGGACGGGGAGGGGAGCGGTCTGCACTCCACCGGCCCATCCCACGCTGTCCCCCATCCCTCACCATCACCCCCTTCTCCCCCCCATCCCCCTCTCCCCCCCATGCCCTTATCCATCCCGCCCCTCCCCCTCCCCAGCCCCACTGCACCAGCCCCTGACCATGGACTGTGCCGACCCCCCCACTATCCCTGTCCAAAAGCATGTTCGTCAGCGTGGGCCCCAAACAATGAGTTATTGCACTGTGGAGGTGGAACCTCTGCGGAGTGAGCTGTATGATGTTAGTAGCTACGCTGTACCAGCTGTGCTGTGTGAGCTATTCGTTGTGAGCTACGGTGTGTGATCTATGCGGTGGAAGCTATGTGGTGTGAGCTTGGTCGTGCACGTTATGAGCAGAACCGCTATGCGGTACGACATGTGCAACGCAAGCGCGGGCACCAGGCGGAACCTCTGCGCGCGGGCATCAGGCGGAACCTCTGCGGACCCACCCGGGGCACGGGGCGCCCACGAGACGCCAGCCGGCGGGCACCGGGCGAAAGATCGGCGGACCCACCCCGGGGCACAAAGGCGCCCGCCCGCGCCCGCGAGGCTCCCACGGGCGGGCACCGGGCGGAGCCTCGGCGGACCCGCCCAGCACGCGGGGCGCCCACGAGCGCCCACGAAGCACGAAGCGCCCGCGGGGGGGCACCCGGCGAAGCCTCGGCAGACGCGCGGGGCGCCCACGACTCGGGTGTTGCCGGAAGTGCCCCTGGCCCAGGGTGCCCCCAGCTCTCTGCTCCCTTCTGGGGCCCCCGGCCGGGGGCCCTCTGGGCCTCGCGAGGGGTGCTCCCGAGGCCGCCTGGGCCGCCCCGAGAATCCTGGGGGTGCAGTGGGCAGGGGCACTTCCGGCAGCACCCGAGCGATCGGCCACGAGGCGAGCACGCGCGGGCACCGAGCGACACCTCGGCGGAGCCTCTCGGGGCACGAGGCGCCCGCGAGCGCTCACGATGCGATACCTCGGCGAGACCTCGGCGGCCCCACCCACGACATGGGGCGTCCGCGAGGGCCCACGGGCGGGAACGTGGAAGGTCATCGGCGGACCCGTCCAACTCCTGAAGCAAGACAGAAAGGAACCCCTAAGAGCAAGCAGTACAATGGGTAATCACAGCATGCACTTGGCGGCGAAATCGCGATCATGTTCGGGCGCCACGCGATCACCCTGCATTGTTCTTGGCAGGGGCGAGGGAGGTGTTAGCATACCGCCCTAGCCCACCACCCCTGCCAACGACCATTGAAGATGCACAGTGGAACATACGA